GCAAACCAGCACTGGCCTCTCTCCCAGGCTGCCCATGTCCCAAGAGGACCCCTGTTTCCCCTGATCCGGAACATCCTTCAGGGAAAACCAGCTAGCCGCCATCTGTGCACCGGCCTCTATCCTATCTAATAAAAGAATAATATGTGGATTGACCATCACTCCAACACACAAGATGGCTGACCCCATATGGTCGAAGATCCTGTCCCCATGTGGATACAAGATGGCCACCACAAGATGGCCACCAGGAGAGGGCAGTTGGTAGGCACCAGGCCTGCAAGGGAGGGCAGTTGGAAGCGATCAATCCTGCAGGGGAGGACAATTAGGGGTGACCAGGCCGGCAGAGGAGGGAAGTTGGGGCAAACAGGCTGCAGGGGAGCAGACATCAGTCAGGTTGGCAGGGGAGCGTTTAGGTGTGATTAGAATGGCAGGCGAAGTGGTTAATGGCAAATAGGAAGACAGGCAGGCGAGCAGTTGGGAGCAAGCTGTCCTGGAATGTGAGAGGGATGTCCGACTAAACAGGCAGTTGGACATTCCTCAAGGTGTCCCAGGTTGCAGGCTGGGCTGAGAGACATACACCCCTGAGCATGAATTTCATGCACCAGGCCAGTAGTAAAAGCATAATATGCTAATTAGACTGGACATCCAGATGACCTTCTGGATGAAGCTGGGGCTTAAAGGGCCAAGGCAAGCCACCATGGCAGTGGGGGCCAAGCCCTTGCATGAATTTCATCCATTGGGCTTCTAGTGCATTGAATAAGGGACACAACTCAGAGCTGACTAGAATGTTAAAGTGCTCCCAGTTAGTAGACAGCCATGGGGTCTCTGGGGAACTTTGAAGTTATCTTAACCTAGTCCAGCTTAAAATTTGAATCAGTAACTGTGAAATGAAGCCAACTTATCACATTCAAAGATACAACATGCCACCTTACCCAGTCTGGCCCAGTGGATAGAGCATTGGTCTGGGGACTGAAGGCTCCCAGATTTAATACTGGTCAAGAGCACGTACCCAGGTGGTGGGCCCCAATCCTCAGGAGGGGGCATGCAGGAGGCAGATGATCCATGATTCCTCATCATTGATATTTCTTGCCCTTCATCTCTGAAATTAATAAAAACATAAACAAATGAACGAAAAAGAAACAAAGATAATGTGCCAAGGGCCACAAATTTATTGGATGGTAAAAGTCAAGGTTCAAAAATATCTCCACAACTAGCAGAATTAGGTGGGAAACAAAAAAGTAGAATTTATAGGATACAAAATAAAGTCTTGTACTTGGGCTTAAAAACAAAACCCTACACAACATAGTTAAGAGCAGCGCATCTACAATAAACCCATTTTCATTTATTGCAACTCAGTAAGAGGTAGCAGTCTGAAATAGTGGTCACAAAAAGCTAAGGCAAATCTAAGTTGCATTAAGAGAAGATAATGTTCTCTTCACAAATATATCCTTGGGACCATACTCAGTTCTGGGAATCACATTTTAAATTAATAATAATTTATTAATTATTAAGAACTGTGTGTTGGGAGAATGGTGGGATCTAACCTAGGAAATATTCTGCCAAAAGCTAGAACTTGAGGATGTTTAAAATGTTTTATCTTGTTTTTCATCTCATCTGTAGAGAGGATATGCTGCCTAATGGGAAAGAGAATTGACTAGGAATGGCAAATGGGTTTTCTTTCTTGAGCCAGTTCTAATCAACTGGTAGTGAAGCCAGGTCTTGCTGCTGAGAAAGATGTTAGAGTGAAAAGGAGAGAGTGAGGGCAGAGAGACATCAACTGGTTGCCTCCTACATGATCCCAATCTGGGGACTAGGGAGTACATGAGCAAGCCTCAACCAAAGTAGGTACTTTTGACTGGGAATTGAATCAGAACTCTTGGATGTGCTGCCACGCTCTAACCACTGAACAACACCTGCCAGGCGTCAGTGCATCTTTGTACTTGTATCATTCTCTGGCTATGTTTTCAATGCTGTGTTAATATAAAGAATATTCAAACCTTAAAGAGTATTGTGAGTATATTTGAGAAAAGTGTTGAGAATTTCCAGGAAGCAGTATCTCAATGGATTGAGAAAATGCTCTGGAGAATGATGGGTGTGTTTATTTTTCTATTTTTTATACATTACAATCAAAGGAGAAGACATAGGTTACAAGAAATCCATTGATGGTTGATTAGAGAGGCAGGATAAAGCAAATGGGGTTCAGGGTGAGGGGGAGAACCTGTTGAACTGGATAAAAAGTAAAATGATAGACACATACTTAGATGGGTATAGGATAGTCAACAGTCAAACAATTAACATGATAACAATGGAGGAATTTGTGGTATCTGTCCTGGTGCTCAAGCACATTAGGTTATGCCCCCACGGATCCAGAAAAGGGAAGTTATAAGTTACCCAGATATTTCAAGGGTATCCTATCCTATCTTTTAAAAGAGTATAATGCAAATTAACAATCACTTGGCTACCCCAACAAACCACGCCTATAAGCCAATCAGGAGCGAATATGCAAATAAACCCAATCAAGATGGTTATGGCCACAAGAGCAGGAGGGAAGCTCTTGTTTCTCTGGCAATGGAGGAAGCCAAGCTTTCTGCCTTCCTTGCCAGTCTCGGCCTCCACTCAAGGGCTACAAAGTTTCAATTATAGAGATACATAAATCCCAACAGAAATGGCTGTCGCCACAGAGCAAGCAGAAGGCTTGGCTCAGCTTCAGGCTACAAAGTTTCTATTGTAGAAGATAAATAAACCTCAGATACCAGGGCCTCCACTTGGGTTGTCAGTGGGCATGGCTGGCCTGCAAACCACCACAAGCCCTTGCCCAGGTTGCCCCATGCCCCAAGGGAATCCCCCATCCCTGATCCGGAACACCCTTCAGTGCAAACCAGCCGGCCCCCATCTGTGCACCAGGCCTCTATCCTACCTAATAAATGAGTAATATGCAGATTGATCACCACTCCAACACTCAAGATAGCTGCCCCCATGTGGACACAAGATGACCACCACAAGATGGCCAGTAGGAGAGGGCAGTTGGGAGGGACCAGGTATACAAGGGAGGGTCGTTGTGGGTGATCAGGGAGGGTAGTTGGGAGGGACCCAGGACTACAGGAGAGAGTAGTTGGAGAGGACCAGGCCTGCCAGAGGATGGCAGTTAGGATGACTAGGCCTGCAGGGGAGGGCAGTTAGGGGCAAAAGGCTAGCAGGGGAGCAGTAAGGCATCATTCTGGCTGGCAGGGTGATCACGTTGGCAGGCAGAAGTGGTTAGGAGCCATCAAGAAGGCAGGCAGGCGAACAGTCAGGAGCCAGCAGTCCTGGATTGTGAGAAGGATGTCTGACTGCCCAGTGAGATCAGGCCTAAACAGACAGTTGGACATTCCTCGAGGGGTCCCAGATTGGAAAGAGTGCAGGCTGGGCTGAGGGACATTCCCCCTGCCTCTCCTCCCCCCTCCCCTTGCACGAATTTTGTGCACCAGAACTCTAGTGTGTGTGTGTGTGTGTGTGTGTGTGTGTGTGTGTATAGGCAATATGCTAAGTCCCAACAGTCAGGGTAATGATGTCACATAGCAATGCCCAGGGTTCCTCTCCCTAGTGATGAGCCTCCTTAGAGTGTCTTCAGCACAGGAACACGACTTGCTTTATAGCCAGGTGGTAAGATTTTACAGTTTAATCAAAGGTTTGTGAAGCGTTTTCCCATGCCTTCTCTCATTTGATCCGCACAGAAGTCCTGGAGTAGGTAGATAGGAGACTCAGTGGAATCCTATTTTCTTTTCATTTGCCATAAAATGGAGATTTAGAAAGCTGAAAAACTTGACCTGATTGAAAAGAAGTAAGGTATGGTTTTCTCACTGCACAGAATATAGTCAAACCCTGCTGCAAATTAAATATTTCACCGTTTGCTCTCCCTGTGTAATCTACAATAATAACCTGCTTCATGTTGATATTTACTACCGTGTTGCTGACAATTACCTGAAAGAGAAGTTGGGGTGCTTCACTGGGCTGGCAAAGGTTAGCTAAATCAGAAAGCAATTCTAATTGAGCCAGTTTATTCTATACCTATAAAAGGCTAAGTTGACTTGTGCATGTATGATACATACAAATCTCTCAGTGGCAGCAATCACACACATGTTTTGATCTGTCAGAGTCGGACATGAATTTGGTTGACACTTTTATTATAGAGAAAGGGCGAATTAAAAAGCAATATTGAAATATTTCTTTCAATTAATTTCCTTCCAATGTGCACAAATTCACTCACTGGGCCAGATAGGCTCAGGTAAGGTAAAGGTTGATCTTGTCAGAGAAGATACCAGCATAGGAGATGACTACCCATCATAATAAAGTTTAATTTCAGACCATCCTTTGTGGTTACTTTGTTGGAGTTTGCAAGACCACCATGCAGGCCTGCCCTGAACTTGTCAGGTTAGCATGTGGCCCTCTTCTTTCACAGCATTTTGGTAAGCCATCTCACCTTTATCTTCCTCAGTATGCAAAACAGTGGGTACTCGTCCTGGCCTGTGTTGCTCAGTGGTTAAAGCATTGATCTGAGTATAGGGGTCACCTGTTGGATCCTGGTCAAGAGCTGATACCTGAGTTGCAAGTCCAATACCGCCTTCAGTAGAGTGGAAGGGAGGCAATCCATGGATGTCTCTTTCACATTGGTGTTTTTCTAACTCCCCTACCCTCTTCCTTCAAGCCTCTAAAATCAATGGAAAAATATACCCTCATGCCTTGGATGAGGTAAAAAGAAAACCTAAAGCAAAAAAAAAGTTGATACTCAAAATTTAGCTCACTGATTTTCAACCAGTGACTTTGGCCTTCCGATGGTCAGAACTGGTGCAGAGGAGCTGCCTGTGTGGGCAGAGAGGCCAGGGATGCTGCTAACCTCCCCGCGGTGCACAAGGCAGCACCCCTACAAAGTTTTCGGCCCCATAGGGCAACCGTGCCGCGGTGATGAAGCCCTGGATTACTGAGTGACCTAGTAGAAAGCAAAGCCCCGAGCTGGCGGAGCTGCGATGGGACCAGCCGGCGGGGGGTAAGGTTAGCCACGGTTCTGTCCTCAGAGTCCTCGTCCCCTCTGCCTGCTCGGTATCTTCTCTTTCGGCTCACATGTATTGAGTCAGGAGAGACAGGGTTAACACCCAGATCGCGCGGGCCGCAGATGTCCCCTGGAGCGCCCGCCCCCGCCACGGATCCTAGACGCGGACTTCGTAAGAAAGTATCCACTGAGCTCGCCGAGTGGCTCTCGCCACACACGGAGGCTAAGCTCTCGCGATAAGTGAGCGGAGTTTCCGGCGGATGTTGGTTTAGACTTGAAGGTAACGCTCCGGACTCTGACTAGGCGTGTCTCCGGGAGAGACGAGACCAGCAGTGAGCATCGGGTATCCACGTGGTGCCTCGGCTTCCAGGGCAGCTGGTTTCACAGCGTTCTCCACGTGTCTATGCTCAGGCCACTGGTGAGAGTCGCGCTCGCGCCGGTACACGTTCCCACTCACCCATGGTAACCCGAGGGGAGGAAGTGCGTTTATCCGCCATTTCCTAATTCGGAGTGGGCGGGAGACCATTGAGGTATAACTGTTCTTTTTGAATCCCCAGCACCTCGTATGGGTTCTGAGGACAAGCGAGGCGGGTGGGGCGAAACTGGCTCGGTGGGAAGCCTACGCAGGAGGCCTAGCCAGGAGCTCACTTGAGATGCATCTTGTTTGTTGTTAAAGCGCCAACCGGGTGCGCAGAAGCTTCGTGTTTGTTTCCGTGAAAGTGCCGTCCCCGCAGGGCTTTCGCGCTTTCCCGAAGGTTAGCCACGGTTCTGTCCTCAGAATCCTCGTCCCCTCTGCCTGCTCGGTATCTTCACTTTCAGCTCACATGTATTGAGCCAAGACGAACTGCGCAGAAAGCTGTACCAGACCTTCAAGGACCCAGGGATCCTGGGCGCCCTCAAGGTATCGCTTTAGGCCCATCTGTTCTGTCGATACAACTTTCACGCGTGGCAGCCGTAACAGGCAGTCCACATTTAACTCTCGGGTCTGGATTTTAAAAAGAAGGTGATGTGCAGACGGTATTGGTGAGTGCTGTCTGTAAGTTTGGTGGTTATTCTGGGACAGGCGTCCCAAACGCTTTAGCGTCTGCCCGGGCTTCACGTTTTCATAGACTTATTGACTGACATTCAGATGGGAGCGAGCAGCTTTTTATAAAATGAACACGTTTGAGTAAGGTTAGACTTGTTTTATGAAGCTGGTTGGTAGGTTCCTGAATTAATTGATTTTGTAAGAGTCATGTTTGAATGAAGATATTGAGACAATATAGAAAACATTAAGTGCTGCTTACAGTAGAATAGTTGGGAGAATGTCAGCTTCTTTCTTTAAAATAATTGAAAGTTCTGAAGATTTCACTTGGGCAGCACATACTTATTAGTGTGAATTAACAGCAAGGAGTAGATTACCTCAAGTGTGTTTTTGTTACTATACACATTTCAGAAGCATATTTTCACTTATGGGAAATTAAAGAAAACGTGAGTTTGATTTGTCTTTTCTTTTCTCTCCCCCATTGTTTTTGTAACTTAAAAAAACAAAACAAAAACCCACACTTTATACTTAGGTGAAAAATCCATAAAAACATGGAGGAGCAAAATCTTTTCTGATTCAATTATTATTGGCATAATGGTTGTGTGTGTGTGTGTGTGTGTGTGTGTGTGTTCGTTCTTAGTTCAGTGTTATATAGTGAGCATTTTTCAGTGTCCATAAAAGCTCCTTGAAAACTTTTCAGTTGCCCATGTTTGGATGTACTTTATGTAGCACTCCCTGGTGAATGTTTAATTTGGGCAGCAAATAATTTACTAATACATTTTACATTTAAAGTAACATCAAGGAATAGAATTAGTTTAAACTTGTTTTCATTACTACATATACTTCAGAAGTATATCTGAAATATAAATGTTAAATAGGTTATAACCAGGCCTATGCATCCTTCAGTTGCGTTTCTCATTGTTGCGTAGATTAAATGGCATTACTTACATTCTTGTATGACTTTTTATCCTGGAAAATAAAAGGCAATAAGCATTTCTTCTTAAGGCTCTTTAGCAGAGCATGTATATTCTGCTCAGTTTAAATGTCTTTTTTACTATAGGATTTTTGATGTATAAGTCCTGTTCTGTACTGGTAGTTACATACTCTTGTTCTTTTCAATGGTAAATATATCCATAGAAGATAGATGTATAGCAACTCTATTTGTTTCTTGCTTGTATAGTATTGATGTGAATACACTGGATGTTATTTAATATTGAACCCTATAGATACAGGCAACATACTCCTAAACTCAGCTCAATTAGATGTTTCCAGATTATATGCCAAGTAGATTAGGACAATATCCATTAGTTCACTTAATTTAGAGGTTTCCAAGTTATAACCTTGAAAAAATTACCAGTTAGCACCAAAATTTTCTTATTTATAAAACTAGTGACCTGGTGCACAAAATTCATGTGCGTGGGAAGTCTTCCTCAGCCCGGCCTGCACACTCTCCAATTGGGACCCCTCAAAGGATGTCCTACTCCCAGTTTACGGGGATTGGGCCTAAATGGGCAATCAGACATCCATCTTAAAATCCGGGACTGTTGGCTCCAGCCGCTTACCTCCCTGCCTGATTGACCCTAACCACTTTGCCTGCCAGCCTGCTTGTCCGCAAGTACCACTTTGCCTGCCAGCCTGCTTGTCCCCATCTGTCCCCCGCTGCTGGCCTGCTCACTCCCCAAGTACCACCCCCATCACCCTGATAAACCCCAACTGCCCCCATGCCAGTGTGCTCACCAGCCCATTCCCTCCCTGTTAGCCTGCTTACTCCAAACTGCCCCCCCCCACTGTCCTGATAACCTCCAACTGACCCCCACTGATGGCCTGCTCACTCCCAGCTAGCCCTCCTGCTGGTCTGCTTACCCCCACTATCCTGATCACCCACAACTGCCATTCCATCCTGGCCTGATCATTCCCCAGTGACCCAAGCTCCCAGCCCCTCCTTTCTATTTTTTCTTTCTTTCTTTCTTGAAACTTTGTAGACTTGAGCAGAGGTCAGGGCTGGCCAAGGGTGGCTTCCTCCATCGCTGGGCAATCCAAGCCTCCAGCTCACTCCATTACAGTGGTTGCTGCTAGCTTTGTTGGGTTAATTTGCATATTTGCTCCTGATTGGCTGGTGGGTATAGCAGAGTGATGGTTAACCCTTTGCACTCCAAACCATTCTGGACATTGGCTACCAGCTACTCGACGCTACTTTGCGGTGGACACGTGTGTTGAATTAACTCAATTCCCCGTAATCACTAATAAACTGCAATGTCCCCCCTGAGAGGGGACATCCGAGTGATATGCTAGAATTCCGATGTTCCCTGAGAGGGGACAGCGGAGTGCAAAGGGTTAATTTACACGTTTCTCTTTTATTAACGTAGATGTGGGAAAATTAATGTACCTAACAGTGTCTTGAGATGTAAATAATATATATGAAGTGCAGTTTTTTTTTTTTTTAATAGACATAGGCTTATTGTAAGAAACTAGCTCACAAGATTGTGGGGTCAGGAAATCCAAATTCTGCCAATATGCTGGCAGCCCGGAGACCCAGTAGGAGCTGTGGTTGAGCCCATAGGCCATCCTCCAGCAGAATTCCTTCTTGTTAAAGAGAGGTCAGTATTTTTTCTGTTAAGGCCTTCAACTGATAAGATGAGGCCAACCCACATTATGGAGAGTAATCTGCTTTACTCGAAATTCACTGATTGAAATTTTAATCTCATCCAAGAACACCTTCACAGAAATGTCTAGAATAACATTTAACTAAAATATTCAGGCATGTAAACTTATCACAGCACATAACACTGGTTGTTATAATAATGGTTAAATGGGTAACATTGGTGAATCATGAATTCTTTGTATATTCTAAACACTTACATTGATTAAGTCCTTTTATTCTCATGATAATCTCTGTGTCGGATACATATATTACTTTCCCATGTTACAGATGAAGAGGCAGAAGATCAGAGAGCTTGCACAACTTTTTGGAGCTGGGATTTGAACCCAGCTTATTTGGCTCCATAGCTTCCACCACCCACAGCAGGTATTCCCATACAATCAGTACCTGCCTGTCCTTCCACCATATCGAGGGCACTGTATTCTTGACATCTATAATAATGACACACTGGCAGTGCCATCAGACTTAGGAGACGTCCCTCCACCCTCACTTTCACCCCTGTTTTTACCCCCCTCCAGAAAGATCAATTTGATTAACAGGTATTTTATTGGGTGACATCAGGCAAGTCCCATGGCACCTCACAGTGTAGAGCCAGCAGAACCAGGAACATCTCCACCCCACCCACCCAGCCTCCTGACCTAGCGCCTTGTAGGAAACATTGTAGAACCTGTACCCTGCCAGGTGGCATCAGCAGTCATCCCTTACTACTGGCCCAGTGTGAGGTCATGGCACTTGGGCAATGGACACCCTCCCCTGTGGGAAGTCCCTGACAGCTGTCCTTGGAGAGAGCCCAGCACTTTATTGCTCCATGAAAACTTCTCTCCAAAGTCACCCCTTACAGATCCCTGGCCACTCAGAACCCATCCTAGTTGTGAGGGCCCACTGATTGGTTGCATCACACAAAGAACAGGCCCCCCCCGAGGGTCGGTCCACGCAGAGCCATTTGCACGCAGAGCCATTTGCATGCAAAGGAAGAAGGTCCTATGGGCAATCCCTGGTTCTGGCAGGACTGAGACCCAGGGTAGGTCTCAGGAGGCTGGGATAGTGAGAGCAACATCTACCTGGGCCTGTGTGACCACAGCCAATGGGAACTGAGCTCCTGCAGGGAAACCAGGTCAACACAGCTGAGGGTGGCCATCCTGGAGGCAGGGCCCATCCAGTTTCCAAAATCCCAACCCCAACAAGAAGGACCAGCATGTCCTACATCTTGGCAGGTGGCCCCCAGTGCCCTCTCCCTCCTCCCGCCTCACGACATGGAGACAGCCCAGGCTTAAGGTCAGGCACAGGTACCCACTGCCTCCTGTAGCTGGGCAAAGAGCTAATGTGAAAGGAGGATGATCCAGACCAAAGAGGACAAGGTCAACTCTCTGGCACCTGGTCACACCCACAGCCCTGGAGATGCCTGGATCAAGGCCCGGAGTCCCTGTGGATAATGAGGTTGCCTCTTTTCCTCCAAGGAATCGGGAGCTGCCCCACTGTCGTTCCCCAAGTCCATAAACCAGGGGTGAGGAACCTTTTCTCTGCCCAAGGTCATTTGTATATTTATAACATCATTCGTGGGCCATACAGAATTGCCAACTTCAACATTAGCCTGCTATATTTTGTCAAACATTTAATTAAGTCACCTTTTATGCCTTGGCAGGGCCAGACCAAATGATCTTGTGGGCTTTCTATGGCCCTCAGGCCAGATGTTCCCTACCCCTGCTAAACCACTAGGCCACAGTGCAAAAGAAGGGAGAAAAGATAGCGAGCCAGTTGGCACCAAGGTCACCTCTGGTTCCAGAGGCTCAGGCCTCACCAAAGGGCTGGTGGCCTGCTACTGAGCCAGGGGACTTGTCATGGTGGGCTCCTTAGGGTCCTTGCTCTCCACAGTGCAGGGCTCCACAATGTAGCCCACAGAGTGGTCAAACTTGCCACCCGCCAGGACAGAGGCTGGGTGAGGAGCAAGCGTGATCTAGCCACTTCTTAATGTGATCAAAGAACTTGGCCTCAATCACTGCATAGAAGAAGGTCCTGAAATCTTCTGTAAGGTTGACCTGCTGTGCTCCTCCAGCAGCTTTTTTATTTGAGGCATGTAGAGGTGGGAGCAGGCTGAGCACTTCTGGCCACTGTACTCAAGGCTGAGCATAGGGTCCCGCCACCACACTGTCCATGTCTGCTGAACGGTGCACAAAGTGGAAGTTCTTCCAAGTGCACTCTCTGGCCAGGCCAGGAAAGGTGCAAAAGCGATCCAGTTTCCGGGCTATCTGCTTCCACAGGTTTTTAAAGGTGGGCACACTGCCTATTAAGTTGATGTTGCAGAGGTACACTGAGCTGGTAATAGTGTCCCCAAATGTGGGCACGTCAGCTGGCACAAACTGGATGATGGTGGGAGGCAGAGCAGCCTCCCGGAGGATGTGGTAGATGGCACAGCTGGCCAACATGGCTGTGTTGCTTAGCTTCCAAAGAATCACATTGCCCATCAAGGCCAGTGTCCCTGCCAGGTTGCTGCTTATCGAAGTTAAAATGGGAAATGGCTGCCACAAAGCCCTCCAGCCCTGGTACTCTTTGCTGTTGGTGCTGGGTGGCACACTGATGGGCTGCTCCATCATGAAGCACCATGGCAAGCTTGGTGTTGAATCAGAAGTCGATCAGCTCAGCCAACACCAAGGCTCGTTGGACACCTTCAGGGAAGAGGTGTGTTTCACTGAAGCCTGGTCCCCCTCCAGCAGGGCACAGAGAAGCATGGGCAGCAGCAGCAGCAGCATCTCCAGGTCGCAGCATGTGGAAGTGCATTCTTTCTGTGCGCTAGGTCTTATTTTCCGAGGATGTCTTATTTTCGGGGAAACACGGTATAGAGCCAAACCAGCTAGGGATGGAAGTGCATCTTCATAATCTTATTTGGGGTTTACTCGTTTCTCTCTTGCATATGTTATTTTATTTTGGGGAACCCAGTTTTATTTTAATCCATATGCCAAGTAAGCTGGTTTCTCCTAATATTATTTTCATCAGTCCATAGAGAATTGAGGAAGCAACAGAATTTTCTCTTACACATGCTATCCGAATCAAAGGCTGCTGAAATGGGCTTATAGGGAAGTTAGAGTCTACATGTATTCTGACTCACCACTAGTTCTCTTGGAAGTAGATGAAAGCAACTTCTCTAGCCAGAATCCATGGGCTGCTTAAAGCACACTGTAAGACAAAGTGCCGCTAAGTAGTTCTAACATCTGGCCATGGATCTAGAAAAGCTGTGGAAATAAAAGGTAAGATTCTAATTTATGTGGCAAATCTGTGTATTTCTAGTGCAGCAAACCTGCGAAAGTTTGTTCCCACTTTGTGTATTTTTGTTTTCTTTCTTTTTTGTCATTGAGAAAGCAACTCATTCATAAATTGATGCACGCTGTATTGTGCAGAGAAGTGCACAACCATTTCAGTTGAAGGGAGCACTTCTAACTCTTTAGTGACAGACCACTTACAAAGATGCAGCTATGAATATTAACTTTCAGTTTTCCTTCCAGAAAGTGCTTGATGGAAGAAACTGTAAAGTTTTCCTTCCTGATTCTGAATTTTCTATTAATAGGCTTTTCTCCAGATAATTATAAAGTGCTACCTAATAGCTCAGTGCTCCTTGGCTAGCTTGGTCCCTTTCTCAGTCATCTTAAAAAGTCATAGAGTTGCTATTTAATGCAGTTTGAAACCTCAGTGTTTTGTAAAATTGTGATGTATAGAATTACGAAATGTTTTAGAGGTAGAATTAATCCAAATTGAGCTAGAAATTATGTTTCATGTAACATACTAAGACTAATGGCCATTTTTCTTGACTAATTGTCATGAACTTGGCTCTGGGCTAGCACACTGTGTCCCAGATGAGAAACCAGAATTAGGAGAAGTGGGTGATTTGCTTAAGGTCATAGGATTTCAAGATGGCAACACAGGGCAATAAATCTGGATTCTAAAATGTGCATTAATTTTTAAAAAAAATCTGTTTTAATCCTCAAATATTAAAACACATGCTACCACTTCTTTAATTATTTTAATTATATTCCTACACCATTCATTGCTTTTGAACATACTATTTACATTTTATTATCTTTAAGGAAGATATAGAAAACTTTACATATTTTTTTAAGTAGGCTTAATATTTTAGAGGAGCTTCATAGCAAAATTGAACAGAATGAGAAAGTTTCTATATGTCTCCTCTCTCATGAACAGCCTTCCCCATGATAAACAGTTTTACAATCAATGAACCTACAGTGTGGCATCATTATCACCTAAAATCCATAGTTGACATTAGGGTGCATTCTTTGTGTTCCTGTTTTAATTCTCTATTTTAGCTGTAATTGTCCAAAAGTTTCATAGTCAGAAGTTTTAAGAAGTCATGAATAGTGTTAGTATTTGAAAAACTTAAAATTTAAATATGCTGTTTATGTTCATTAGCAACCAAATTTTGTTTATCAACATTAGGAATTCTTTTTTGGTCCATCAGTCTCTAAGCTCGTAATTACTTTTCACAATTTTGCTTTTTGCCTAAGCAACAGTCAGTTATATAATTATTAGGGCAGTAATTAATCTAGTTCAGATACTTCAAGGTTTTACTATACTTCAAAGTTTTACTGTTATAAAATGCCATATAGAATGTTTTCTTTAAAGGAAAATTAATAGAAAATATATTAGTGTTCTCAGGATAGAGATGGTAAAGAATACTTACTGTATATTAGGAATAGCTACCCAAAATATTTGTTTAAACTATTTTCAGTTATACTCTAATTATAAAGACAATAAAAATTGAGTTCATTTACATTCTGAAGCATTAGTATGTAAAAAAAAAATTGCAATTGACTCTGGAATTCAGATAAGATCCTGAAATTCACCCAAGTTCATATATTTGAGTCTTTATCATCCGTAACCTGTTAACCATTTCTGTTAGGCATATCATCTTTCTTGTGGCCTAATATATTTATTGTGAAGTAACTGGAGGTTCATGTCTTAAGAGAAGTATTTTAGCCAAAACTGATGTGGCTCAGTGAATAGAGCATCAGCTTGCGGACTGAAAAGTCCCAAGTTTGATTCTGGTCAAGGGATGTACCTTGGTTGCGGGCACATCCCCAGTAGAGGGTGTGTGAGAGGCAGCTGGTCGATGTTTCTCTCTCATTGATGTTTTTAGCTTTCTATTTCTCTCTATAAAAACTTAATAAGATATATTATAAAAAAAAGAAAAATATTTTAGCCCTAGCCAGTGTGGCTCTGTTGGTTGAGTGTCATCCCATGCACCAAAAAATTGTCTCTTTGATTCACAGTTGGGCCACATGCCCAGATTGCAGGCTTAGTCCTCTGTAGGGGTATTGTAAGAAGCAGCCAATCCTTGTTTTCCCTCACAGTGATGTTTCTCTGTCTTCTTTTTGCTTACCTTTTCTCTAAACCAATATTTAAAAAAAAAACAACAAAACACACAATGTACTTTATCTTTTGTATTCAGCAAGTTTATTGTAATTTAATAGTATTAGAAGAGCTTTAATTTTACATTCTTTTTTAAAAAATATTTTATTGATTTTGTACAGAGAAGAAGGGAGAGAGATAGAGAATTAGAAACATCGATGAGAGAGAGTCATCGATCAGCTGCCTCTTGCACACCCCCTACTGGAGATATGCCCGCAACCAAGATACATGCCCTTGACCGGAATCGAACCCAGGACCCTTCAGTCCCCAAGTCGGCGCTCTATCCATTGAGCCAAACCAGTCTCGGCTAATTTTACATTATTAACATAAACTTACTGATTTGTAAGAGCTCTTTGATATTAAAACTAGTGAGCCCTCTCCATATTATAGCAAATATTTTCCAGTGTATCATTTGTCTTTTGACTTTATTTCATGCCATATATAAGTTCTTAACTTTTATGTTATTATTTTTCTTTATCACTTCTAGATTTTTGTGTCATGTTTGGGAAGGACTTCCCTCAGGAATTATTCATAAAAGATACATAATGTAAAACAGGATAATGTAATAAGCCCCAAATTTATAAAGTGAGCAATGGTTGAATGAAAGAAAGTTGTGAAACAAAACTTTGTACATTGTGTTTTTTAGGTTTTCTTGTGGAGTTTCTGAAAGAGATAGCAGAATATCATCAGGCTAAAGAGACTTGTGAGATGGACACTCAGACAAGTCCGTTGTTTCCTCGCAAAGACATTCTTGGTAATTTCAGGCTTTCTCTCTCCCCCCCCCCCCATGATTTCAGGTTTCAATTGATTTTTGAATGAAGAAAAAGACCTACTTTACTATGTTGTGTATTTCTAAACTGTTTGCAGGTGGGGTGCTCATTTTCTCTTGTGTCGTTGTGTCAGCACAGTCTTATCTTTAGTGCTGCCCTGCCCCTCTGTGATCACCAAGGGGATGCAGAGGCACATGTTCTTGTTTGTTGGGTCGAACCACTCAACTGGGAGGCTTTTCCCTGTGTCTCACTTAACTTTATTTTAAAGCCATTAATGTGAGAAGATCCTAGACTATTTGCATTTCAGAAAACTAGAGAAGTCAGTGGCCCATCACTTCATTTTATAGTGAAGAAACCAACGTCACTAGATGAAGGAAAAACAATACTGGAGTCCCAAGTTTTCTGGTCCATGATCCATATCATTTTCCATAGTACAGCCTTTCTATATATATATAATGCCATTCTGCCTTTAGTTATATGCTCAGAAGGAAAACTGGCTAAAATGCTGTGATTAACCCTGGCTCCTCCTTACTTATAAAAACCAATAACTTTTAGACAATCAATTTAAATATCATATATATATATGTATTTTATTGACTTTTTTAGAGAGAGGAAAGGTGAGGGATAGAGAGTTAGTAACATCAATGAGAGAAATATCAATCAGCTGCCTCCTGCACAGTCCCTATTGGGTATGTGCTTGCAACCCAGGTACATGTCCTTGACTGGAAATGAACCTGGGACCCCTGAGTCCACAGTCTTGACACTTTATCCATGGAGCCAACCAGTTAGGGAAAATTCTAATATATTAATCTACTTCGCCAGCCTTTTTTTTTTTTTTTTCCCTGTGCATACTTTTTGGTGGGCATTGGTGTTCACATATGGTTAACATTTGATTCTGATCCACATTTGGATTGAGGGTTGCAAGTCTGTGAGTCTGCCACGAATCTTGTGAGCACTGGAATGAGAGAATCGGCAGACCTGACTTTCGTCCCAGTTATGCCATTGTATATTTGCTTAGCTCTCTGGGAATTACCTATACTGTATGGGCATCTGTGTTCTCTGTAAAATGGAAGACTTGAAATTCATAATCTTTGATTCATTTTAAGATCAGTGTTTTGAACATGTAACTTAACTTCCACCAAAGAACATAAAAGAGACTGGAAAGAGATGCACTGTTTTCTGACCTAAGTTTTGCTTTCTTTTTTCCTGACTTTTATGATACAAATATCCCAATTCAAAAAAGTTGAAAAAAAGTTGCAAGTTTTACAATTCATCATTAAATTTGTATTATGCCTGCTTGATCACTTTCCTTTCATCCAGTAATCTATCTTAATTTTTTGAATTTTTTCAGAGTAAACTGCAGATTGCTCTCCCTTTCCCTTCCCCTCACCCCGTGCCTGTATCCCAGTACTCTTTGCTTTTGAACACATCTCTTGATTTCATATCACCTGACCCCATTCCTCTACCCCGTTTGTGTTTTTTTAATAGCTGAGAAGCGTCAACAGATTGATGATCAGTTTTCAGGTGTTGGATACCCTCAGTATCCAACATTAGGATATTTAGAAATAAAGTTAAATGAACTAGAACAGCAGCTTCGGGCAGAAATGCATGAAAGGGTAAGTTTATATTTTTGATGTTAACAAAGATGATATTTTCGTTTATCTTTTCATCCTTAATAATAGGTATGTAGGAAAATATCTAGAATCTTTATTAATGAACTAGAGGCCCAGTGCATGAAATCCCCCCATGCACAGGTAGAGTCCCTAGTGGCTACCAGCTGGTGGGATCCCTCTTCCCCTTGCCATCTGCTGCAGGGGTAGGGCTGGCCTGTGGGGGAGGGGCTGCAGGTGTTAGCCAGTCAGCTGGCCCCACCCCTGTTCAAACTTCTGGTTGGGGGCACAATTCGCATATATGGCTTTTATTTTATAATTAATGTGATACATAATGTGATGCATGTTATTATTTTTCCACCTGCTTTTGTTTCTTTATGCCTTTTGAATGAATCTTACAGGAATAGTTAATGAGATGAAATTAAAGATGAATTAAACTTTAAATATAGGGTGTCCCAAAAATAAATAAACACACCCTGAATAATTATTAAGGCAGTATTTGTTAAAACAACACTTTATTTTCACAATTGAGATGTCAGCTGTTACAGTATATATACATTTTTGGGGGATATCCTGTATAATTAATATCAAACTTAAAACATGGAGAATTTATTACTAATTGTTTAGTATTGTTATTTGCAATGATTTATAGTCAATTGGCAGTTGAAACACTTAAAAAGTACTGAAGTAGTAAAAATGAAAATGGAAGAGAAAGAAAAGTATAAGAAGGAATTAGCGGTTTTGTTGAGAGAGCTTGTCAAGCAAAATCTGAGGCCTTCCTTTCTTGGAAAGGGATGTTCCTTGAGAGAATTCAAAAGCATCAGGAAGCAACATTTTAAAATCATATATTGGATAGCTCCCTCCTGCAGCTGCTAGTAGAGTGGCTAAAAGTCTAAAAGTGAGGTGAGACATTTGCTGGATCAATTGATGACTTAGAGGACCAGTAGGGACTGCAGTCAAGAGTACACCTGGAAGAATCAGCTTTGAAAAGAATACTCAGACTTCTTCTGAAACTACTGGTAGAAGGAGTGAAAGTTAAATGTTTGAGTCAGAAGAGTGAGACACTCTCATTAAAATTGAGTCAGATGTGAGGATTAGATAGTGAGTGACTTTGAGGAGACGACCAGAGGTATGGAATGGCTGCTATGGGGGCAAGAAGGAGCAGAGCAGCTCTTTGAAGCTGATAGTATTGCTCCATCTGTTTTGAGGGTTCTGCTGAATTGGGCAACCTGGAACTGAAGTACACCAAACCAGGTGTTTGTAGGTCAAACGTGTCAAACTCAAAGGCTAACATGAGCTAAATAAAAAAGGTGTAAATTTATGTGGGCTGCAAAAAAAAAAAATCTTCAATTTTCATAGAAAGGGAGATTGATTTTGATAGAGACATACTGAATACAAAGGGCTGAAATAAATGAGTCATTAACATAAAATAGAAATGAATATTTTTTCTTGAGTACTCTTTTATTAGACACTAACTGCACAAATTAATAAGCATATACAAAGAAACCTATTTTTCTTGTTCTCTGAAAGTGAAATATTCCTGTTGCACACACCAAATAAGTCAGTACAAGACTAATGATGTGGCATTCGGCTGCTAAAATATTCTCTGCTAGTATTAATGGAGAGTAAGTGGTGTGCATGTGCGTAGGTGCATAAGGGAAATGAATGCAACACAATGATAGTAATCATTCATTAGAGAATGTAGTTCATTATTAATAACTATAGACCTGTTGCAGGAAGATTCCCGAAATAGGGCTTCCTATGGCAGTCTCTGCCACCCCACTTGCTTCCCTTTCTTTGCTGCCCTGCTTGCTTTCAGCTTTGCTCCCTTCTGTAGCACTTGGCTTCCTTCTACGCTGCCTACAGTCTTTGCTCTGTGCCTGGATATGCAAATTAACATATGCAAAATCTTGGTTGGTCTAATTTGCATATTTACTCCCGATTGGCTGGCGGGCATGGCTCCTGGATGTAGCAAAGGTACAGTCAATTTGAATGTTTCTTTTTTATAAGCTAGGATTATGTGTAACAGGTTATTGTAAAAATTAAGTCATGAAATTTTTATTAAAACATTAATTACGTACCATTATATTGGCTGGACCACAAAAATATTCATTGTAGGCCACATGCAGCCTGTGGGTTGTGAGTTTGACATGGTTGTTGTAGGTGATTGTTTTGTTGGAGCTCTTGGGAGAGTTCAGAAGGTCAACGAGGGCAGAAAATGTGCTTGTTGAGAGAGGAGCTTAATAGAGCTGAACTGACTTGATTTGAAAAAGGCAGCCTGTTAAGTTGAAGACATTGGGGTTCAGCATCATGGTGAACTAGAGCAGAGTGTGGATGGCTGCTAATCCATGGGAGAAGGGAGAGCTATGTGGTAATCTCAGACATCAGGAAATAGGTCTAGGGATACTGACAGATGGAAGAATAAGGGTGGACCAAGAGAACAGAGTTGAAGGATGGTTTCTAGGTGAAGTTGGAAAGCAACTGCAATGTGCTTCATCCAAGCAAAGGCAAAGTTCTCTGGAGGAGAGAGGTCCGGGGCTGCTAAGCATCATCTATGTGGCCATTTGATCTTGGCACCTAGGAAAGTGACTGGACAAGATATGGAGAGGTTGAGGAATGGTGGGAAGTGTCTGTCAGCAAAAGGGATTGGATTGTTTCTTTAGGAAAAACAGTTCCTTTCCGATGGGGTGTCAAACCAAGGGATTTGGGGTCATGGTTTTCTATGTGCAGCCAGAACTACTGATACCATGAGATGGTCGAGTAAAAGGCTTCCTCCCAGTGTCAACCTTCCTTGGAACTTCTCAGTAAGAACCAGTTATTAATGGTGATTGCATCCCCTTTACAATTTTGTGTAGCATTTCTGGAAATTAGGTTTATTTTAGCTATAAAACATAAACGTTGGAAGCACTGATTTTTGAGATGATGGTTGTGTTCAGACTAGCACTTTCAATTTCAAAACAAGTGACTGACTAGATTAGATCAACCAGTTAGCCTGTCTCCATTTAGTTGGATTATCTGAAGGCTCTAGAGAAGGTTGGCATTGTCATAAAGGGCACCATACCTTTACTCTACCAACCGACTGTCCATCCCCTTTTCTTTTAACAAATTCCAGCTTAAATGTTGCCTCCTGGTGACACCTTCCCTGACTCCCATTGATGGACTCATTTAGGCATCATTCCTGCTGTGGAGACTAGACTTTGGTTGTGAAAACATCGCATTGTAGTATGATTGTTTCTCCCTTAATCATCACATTGTAGTATGATTGTTTCTTCCTTAGCAAATCATGAATCTTTTAATACATGGGGACTATAACTATTCATCTTTTTATATCCATCTCCCAGTGTGCTTTCTTTTTTTTTTTTTTTTTAAATATATATATTTTATTGATTCTGTACAGAGAGGAAGGGAGAGAGATAGAGAGCTAGAAACATCGATGAGAGAGAGTCATCGATCAGCTGCCTCTTGCACATCCCCTACTGGGGATATGCCTGCAACCAAGGTACATGCCCTTGACCGGAATCGAACCCGGGACCCTTCAGTCCCCAAGCCGACGCTCTATCCATCGAGCCAAACCGGTTTCGGCACCCAGTGTGCTTTCTTACATATTCAGTAAATCCTTGCTCAGTGAACACGCAAATGGATGTGTGATCTATTTTTCAGTGTCATACCAGCTTGTTCATTCTGAGTCAGAACTGCATATGACTTGAAATTTTCAGACTGAACCATGGGGACTCTTAAGTTTTATCTCATTAAAATTTTTTTTTTCTTTTCCTAGAGAACTTATCAAAATGTTAAGGAAGTGTCTGATTAATGTTAATTAAATCAAATACTTAATGTTAATTAAGTAGAATAATTACACAAGGGATATTAGGATAATATAGCTTAATAGTCATTGGATTAGGCAGTAAATTCTTGTGTAACTGGAATAGGCAAAATGCATACCTTGAAGTGCAAATGTCTTAAAAGTGAAATTGTTTCTCTAAATGTGTGTACTTTGTTCTCTGGAATGTAGGAAGTAGTACATTAATTCAAATCTGTTTTATTTTCTTCACCTGCTTGCTAAAAATTAATGCTTTCCTATACAGACGGAGACAAAAGAAATTTATGATCAAAGGCAGCTTCTACTAAAAGATATCAATTTTCTAAGAAGCAGAGAAGTAGAGCTGAACCAAAGAATTGAAGCTTTTTATTGGTAAGTAATGTTTTCATTTTGACTACTCAAACTCTATGAGTTTAAAAGAAACTAAATTCATCCAATTATTCTAATGCTAATTGCTAAGAAGAGATCTTGGTTTTAAAGGTGCCATCACTTGGTTTTAAAAGGCATAAGTTGAGAGAAACAAAGACTAGGATTTTACTTTTGGAATATTAGATATTGGGATTGTGCTGCGCCAGCACAGCCAAGGGTTTGGTGAGCTTGAGGGAGGTCCAATGAAGGATGAAGAAAAAGACAGAGACAGATAGACAGACAGACAGACAGAATAAGCTAGGTAGGTCTAGGTGGATCTTCTGTGCCTGGCTAAGGCCACAGAACAGATCCAGACTGCCAAGCTGATGCTTTATTTATAGTCTGGGGTAAACAAGGTAATTTACAGTGTTCTTATAAGTTTCACTTGTTTTGGCATCCCCTCCTAGCTACCCAGGAAAGATCTAGGGAGCAGTTACAAGATTAAGCTTGTAATTATGCTTAGAGGACTATGCCCTCCAAGCTGGGACTTGTTTTCGACTTTGTCAGCAGGTCAGTTTGGGGTTAACCCTATAATGGTTCCCTACAGGGATAAAAGGCTGCGAGATACCATCATCAGGCTACAGTAAAACCAGACAAGTCATTTGAAGAAGCTAACAACTCTTAACATATTATGTTCCACACTTATGTTCAGTCATTAAGATCTAACGGTTTCATGTGCATGTGGTAAATCAGTGCAGTGGCTCTGACTTGATTTGTGATGGATATGTGTTCACCAATATTTCATTCTTCTGCCATTCCTAGCAAGCTCACCAGTTTATGCAATGAGCATTCTTTTCCATTAGGGTTCTATTAGTAGTTGACTCTCAAAGATACTCTTATTCATTAACGTTATTAGCTCATTTTATGTAGGCTTAATTCATTTTATTTTTCATCTCTGCCTACATTGCTCTGTTCTAAGCAGTACTGAAGTGTTAAATTGATCATGAGAGAAAAGGAAAGTGACATACAAGCCAGTGATTTCCAACTGGTATGCTAAAGAATATTTAAAACATGTAATATCTGACTGTATTCAGGGCATTAACCTCTTTTTCCTCAGATTTAAGAAAAAAAATGACAACAGTCAACACAGAATAGCTGTTCATTGTGAATGAATCAAAAATATACCTGTTGTTTTTTTAATGGGAAAATATATTTTTGGCATGCTGCAGATTTTTAGTAGTTTGTGTGTCAGAGATAAATAAGGTTGAAAATCACTGATATCTATACTAATAATAGAGGAATATGCGAATTGTCCAGGATGCTGCCACAGTAACAGTAATGACCAAATAGCAGGCTGTGTGGGGTGACCAGGCCGACAGGGAGGTTTGTGAGGGATGACCAAATGACTGGACAGCAGGCTGTGTGGGATGACCAGGCCGGCAGGGGGAGCAAATGAGGGTGACCAGGTCCGGGGGTTGTTGGGTGCAACCAGGCCAGCAGGAGGGGCAGTGAGGGGGACCATATTGGGGGGTCAGGCAGTTGGGAGCGACCAGGTCAGTAGCTGTGGGGGGAGTAAGGTGGGACCAGGCCATTGGGAAAAGCAATAAGGACCAACCTGGCAGGTGGGAGGGGTGTAGTTGGGGCCGACCAGGTGAGAAGGGGCAGTTAGAGGAAGGCTGGCAAGTGAATAGGTAGGAGCCAGAGGTCTGGGATTATGAGAGAGAGAGGTCCCACTGCCGGTTTTGGCCCAATCCCCCAGGGGTCTCAGATTGGAGAGGGTGCAGACTAGGCTGAGGGGAAACACCTCCCTGCACGATTTTCGTGCTCTGGGCCTCTAGTTCTATATAATAATAGCCTAATATGTAAATTATTCCCTCAACTCGAGTTCTGCTGTGAGTTCAACTGCTTGACCAGTCATTATGATGGGCACTGACCACCAGGAGGCAGATGCTCCAATCAGTAGGTTGGATTGGATGCTATTGGGCTGGACTGGAAAGTGAGGCGTTAGGAAGTTCCCAGGGTTTGGCCAGAGTCCTGGATAGATGGGTGGGGTGGGAGCCAGAAGGGACCAGGTGGCTGGGCACGCTGTTACACATGATCTGAGAGCTGTGGACTGTACAGCCCTCTGCAGTCTGTGGCATTCTCAGTGCACAATTTATAATCTCCCCAGCTGCTTATTTTCATTTGTTAAGTTTCACTCCAGGAGAGTGGGTAACACCATTACAGGGGACAGGCCAGGCGTGCCTGCTCAAGCCAAGGTGTGGCCTCAACTCTCTGAAAGTAGCACAGAGGCAGGCGGGGCTGAGTCGAAGAAACCTAGTCCCACACTTGAAACGGAGGCAGCAAGGGGTAGAGGATAATAGCTGTGCAGGGACCTAGAAAAGCTGCTGGGTGGGGGTAGCCAAGGAACTCCGTGCTTCTCTCATAGGACAGGCTCCTTGTCCCTCCCTTTTTTTCCTGGTGACCTATCAATGCAGCTTTTCTCGGAGGTCACAGGTCTTCTCTGAGGTCCCAGCTCTTAACCAAAGCCTGGGCTTGCCCCATACAGTTCCATACTACTGCATACTCTACACTGCCTCACCTATCCCACCCCACCATTCACAGCCCTGCTTCGACCCCACACAGTCTTTGGAGAGTTCCACCCCCCAGAGGAGAAAGGAGGAGGCTGCAGACAGAAGGTCACAGGAGGACCGGGCAGAGCAGGGCCCACCAAGTTAGTTGGAGGGTAGGGAGGGAGAGACCCCATAGAACTGGAGACAAAAACGGGCAGGAAAGGAGGGCCATGCAGAATATTGGCCCTGGGTTGAAGTAGAAATCCTGGCCCCATTTTACATACCCAAGCAGTGTGTGTGTGTGCCTGTGTGTGTGCGTGTGTGTGCGCTCGCGCGCGCGTGGGGGGGGGAGGGGGGCAGGGGTGGTGGGAGGGTAGGGGGTGTGTGAAGACAAAAGAGGGTGTGAGGAGACTGGTTGGAAGGAGAGCAGTGAAGTTTGATTCATGGCCTATTTTTTTATTTTTGTTAATATATTTTTATTGATTTCAGAGAGAAAGGCACAGGGAGATAGAAGCATCAATTATGAGAGAGAATTGACCTGCTGCCTCCCACACGCCCCTACTGGGGGTTGAACCTGTAACTCAGGAATGTGCCCTTGACCAGTATTGAACCCAGGACCCCCCAGTCCACTGTGCCAAACTATCTAGGTTGAGCCATGGCCTATTTAAAACCACTGCAGAAGGCTGAGCAGGGGTCTTACTCTGATGGTGTTACCTGATAATGAGGGTGTCTTTCCTTATGTTGGGTAATCAGAACTACAGTGAAGTAAGCACACACTCATGGAGCCTATAAAGGGTTTCCATGCACACGATTCAGTTTACTTTGTGTGGCAGCTGAAGAGGGTGCCAGAGCCTTGTAGGATCAGGGGCTGGAGGGTGTGTATTGAGCATTCTTCCCCATGAGTGAGTGAGTTTGTTTCATTCTATTTTTCTATCATCTATCTATCTATCTATCTATCTATCATCTATCTATCTATCTATCTGTAATATGCTAAATATCTGACTGAGAGGTCAACTGATTGGTTGCTATGATTGCACTAACTACCAGGGGACACATGTTCTAACCAGGTTAGCTTGATGATGGGGACTGGCCAATCAGGACCAGGCGAATCAGGACTGGACTTGCCCTGAAGCCCCCTTGTGGTTCCTCCCTGGCCACCTGCCCCAATCGGGACTAGGTGAGATGATGATCCCCCATTGTTGGCCTGTTGGAGGCACTCCACCCATTCATGAATTCATGCACCAGGCATCTAGTAAGCTAATAGGTGTAATTCACTGCTGCTTTGCTTTACATATTAGTCAGCAGAGGGTGCTAACAGATAAAGCTTTTATCCTTTGCTTGGAATGGTCAACGTTCCCTAACACTTTCCCCGGCTCAATCTAAGGGAAGACAATTCCTTTTTTCAGTATTTGGAAATTCTGATTGACCCATCAATCTTTTTCTATTCAGCACTCTTTAGTATTCAATCACTAGGTTATTAAATGCCAAAAACAAATCTTGTCTTATACCTATAGGCTAATCAGTTAAATCTCACAGAAATAACCTAACTTAATTTATTATGGCCGTTAGTTACCTGCAACCATTTTTTAAGAATTGATCATCTTCAATGAAAAAGAACTTTGGTCTTGAAACTTGCACACTCCCTGCACCCTGGTGCCACCATGCCTCTCCATCTGCTACTTCAGATCCCACGTAACTTGGTTAGTTCACAGGATAGATTGAGGACTCTGGCTCTTTCTATTTACTTCCCAGCAGTGATAATCACGTAACAGTTTTAGCTGGTGGAGCTAAAATTATGTTGTTTTTCCTCCTAAAGTCTTTACTTCAGGTATTACATTTTTTTTAATTTACTTTTTATGTTTTTGCTAATATAATATCAGAGGCTACAGAAGAAAATTGTGAAAGTGTGGCTGATGCACTTAGGAGACAGGAGCCTAAAAAGAGCATGGAGGAGACCTGTGACTAAAAGCTCAAGAATAAAATTCTAAAGAAAATGTTTGGTGTTCTTAAATAAGTAATATGTTTGAATTAAGTTGATGGAAATATGGCAACAGTAGTGAAATAGATAAGACAACATTTTATGGTGATAAGTGTTTTAACCTGTTAACCAGGGAGTTCCCTTTTTAATGACACAACCTGTAATGGGCGCGCACTCTTTCACTAGGACGTAATTTCATGTTTTCTTTTTATTTATTTATACTTAATGAAAATAAACGGAAAAAATATATATATTTTTTCATTTATTTATATATAAAGCACAAAGGAAAATACAAAATTACAAAAAAATAGAAAAGAATACCGACAAAAATAAATGGACACGTCTAATTAAAAAAATTATAAATTTTACAAACAATGATAAAGATTACAAAAAATAGCCGAAACTGGTTTGGCTCACTGGATAGAGTGTCGGCCTTTGGACCTAAAGGTCCCGGGCTCGATTCTGGTCAAGGGCATGTACCTTGGTTGCCGGCACGTCCCCAGTGGGGGGGGGAAGGGGTGCAAGAGGCAGCTGATCGATGTTTCTCTCTCATCTCATCGATATTTCTAACTCTCTGTCCCTCCCCTTTCCTTCCTCTCTGTAAAAAATTAATAAAATATTTAAAAAAAGTATTACAAAAAATATATATATTTCAAGGACGTATTCATACATCCTACCGGTTCCCGATATTGTTTACGTTTGACTTATTTATAGGTCCCGCTCGGTTAACAGGTTAAAAATGTGTGTTTTCATTGATAAGCCTTTTCCATGAGTATTTAAGATAGTTTTACAGAGTTACAGTACAGAGAATAGCAGCCTCTATTCTTTATTTGTAGCTTTTCTAACATGTATCGAGGGTCTGTATTTGCTTTCATTTTCCGGCACCCTGTGAGTTGCTCAGCTCACACAAATGAGCTATAAAAAGTGGTTGATCTATTTTTAAAAAAATCAAGTTAAAAAAATAATCTTTGGGAGGAAAGGAGAGAGACAGATAAAGATCAACATGAGAGAGAAACATCGATCTGTTGCCTCCTGTATGTGCCCTAATCCCTCTTGCTATTAAGATGGAGGTGTCTGGCAATTTATAAATTATTCTGCTAGTGGTTATAATGTTTGTCAGGGAACATGTGCCCTGTATTCCTCCGAGATTATGCAATGCCAGAATCAAAAGAAATAAATGAAAATTAACAATAAAGAAAAAAAAATTATATAGGGAAAGGAAATATGATAACTATAGTTAATATGACTTTTCTATAATATGAGTTTTAATGTGTTGCAGGGATTAACATCTCAGTGCACACATTAAGCCCATATGGTAACTTTACAGTGCTCAGTGTTCATATAATATTAACTGAGTACATGAATTCTTGGTGAAGGTGTGACTCAACTATGTCTTAATAAATGGCCTCTTTTTACTGCCTTGACCATAATTTGTCATGATATTACATTACATACTTGCAAAGGTTTCTTGAGCTTATTCTTTAAAATAATTATAATTTAAAAGTATAGTACCTTTCCATATATCAATTTTGAAATGATGGGTGTTATCTCTACATATAGTATGTCAGCTTCTCGAGTATTATAGCACACACTGACATGTCTGTAAATTGTTAAACCTTTAGGAATAAATGAATGAATAAATGTGTATGTTAACTTTCCACTGCCTCGCAGATCATGAACCGTTTGGTGTTGTCTGGTGTGCAACCCTCTATGATTTTAGCACGGATTAGAGTTCACAGGATACTTGCCACAGGAGTGCTTCTCTTTCCTTAACTGAAACGTCTACTAGTGGCAGTTGGTGGATATACGTAAAACTTCTTGAAAGCGTGCTTTTGGTATTTCTAACCCAGACGTGAAGGTAGTCAAAATTGGCTCCCAACACTATTCCCAACCTTGAGGCAAAAGTTCTTCTGGGGGGTAGAAGGGGCCAGGGCAAGGCAGGTGGATGTGACTGACTTCTTATCTCTTGAGATTTAGAGTCAGTTGTACCGGTATAAATTGAACTTAATTTACTTTTGTGTGCCAATCCAGACCACCATGGAATAATTGTTCTCAGTAATCTCACAATAACCTGAATTTTGGTGATCAATTTATAGGATTGTAGCAAGTTTTATATTCAGAATTTGGATCTCTGGCTTTATTACTGAGAATCCTTGAAGTTATGCATGGCCAAGTATATGCCCTTAGGTACCCAGGTGCCACAGAAACCCTTACATTATAGTAATCTGTCCAGGAAAGTGATAAGAAACTCATTTTAGTCATTCTGATTCGCAGGTATCAACATGGACTAAAGGATGACTACTTCAATAGAACTAAACTGGTTGAAGAGGACAGGAAGAATAAAGGTGATTCTTGGGGAGAAGAAAGCTGCATTTTTAAATTTCTGACATAGGTTATTAGCTCCCTAAATTGGGCCTGTTATAAATTTAAATATATAAATATATTTGTGTGTGTGTGTGTGTGTGTGTGCGCGCACATATACATATATACACACACATATACATATATACACACATACACTCACATACAAATATATATATAGCTTACATTTATTGTTACTACAAAATTAACCATTATTTTGTTCTTTTAATTTTACATGCCAAAAATGACCTTAACCTGAGAAGAAGTAGGATAATCAGGAGGTTTTTCTTCCCCAATTTACTTTTTTTTCTCCCCTTTAGCCAAGACCTGCTTGTTACCTATATTTATGTGCCTGTTTTTTGTTGTTATTGTTTTGTTTTTATTTGTTAAGATCCCACATATTGTATAAGTTAAACCATAGGATATTTGTGTTTCTCTGTGACTTACTTCACCATAAAACCCTCTAGGTTCATCCATGTTGTCAGAGATGGCAAGATTTTATTCATTTCTATGGCTGAGTAATATACCACATCTTCTTTATCCATATATCCATCTGTTGATGGTAGTCTAGGTTGCTTACAAATCTAGTCTGTTACTAGTAATGCTGCAGTGAATATAGGGGTGCATTTATTTGTCTTTTCAAGTTAGTGTGTTGTTGTTTTTTACATATACCGAGAAGTAGAATTATTAGATTATATGGCTGCTCTTACTATTTATTTATTTTTGCGGGGAGTAATTCTACACTGTTATTCCATAGTGGCTGCATCAAACTGCATTCCCACCAACAGTGTATGCGGGTTCCCTTTTTTCCACATCTTGGCCAGCACTTATTATTTATCGATTTATTGATGGTAGCCATTCTGACAAATGGGAGGTGATATCTCATTATGGTTTTTAATCATGAGAGACTTCATTTTTATTTATGGAAAATTTTATCTTCTCCATTCCCTGGTTCCTTTTTTTTAATTCTTTTAATATATTTTTACTGATTTCAAAGAGGAAGGAAAGAAGGAGAGAGAGAGAGAGAAACATCAATGATGAGAGAGAATCATTGATTGTCTGCATCCTGCACGCAGCCCACTGGGGATCGAGCCTGCAACCAGACATGTGCCCTTGACTGGTATGGAACCTGGGACCCTTCAGTCTCCAGGCAGATGCTCCATCCACCAAGCCAAACTGGCTAGGGCCATGGTTGGCAAACTGCAGCTCGTGAGCCACATGCTGCTCTTTGGCCCCTTGAGTGTGGCTCTTCCACAAAATACCACGGCCTGGGCGAGTCCATTTTGAAGAAGTGGTGTTAGAAGAAGTTTAAGTGTATAAATTTAGCTCTCAAAAGAAATTTCAATCGTCTTACTGTTGATATTTGGCTCTGTTGACTAATGAGTTTGCTGACTACTGGGCTAGGGCATATTTGTAATATATTTTTATGCCTCATGGTATTTAATTTATTTATATATATATATATATATATATATATATATATATATATATGTGTGTGTGTGTGTGTGTGTGTGTGTGTGTGTATATATATCCAATACATACATATATATATATATATATATATATATATATATATATATATCATTGACCTACAGAGAGAAAGGGAGAGGTGGAGAGGAATAGAAAGTACAAACATCAATGAGAGAGAAATATCGATCAGCTGACTCCTGCACGCCCCCCCACTGGTACATACCCTTGACTGGAATTGAACCCAGGACCCCCCAATCCTTAGGCCGACACTCCATCCACTGAGCCAAACTGGTTAGGGCACCTCATGGTATTTTTACCTGAGGTAACTTCCTAAACTGTTTTATAACTAACCCAGGAGTAGCAAAGTTGAATAATTTTTCAATTTCTTGAAAGTTTACATTTCAGTATATTTCTAGAAACTTGCCTATGAAAAGAAGTTGAACTTAAAGTGGAAATTTCAAAGGACTTTTTGGAATAAACCAGAGCTGGGTACTTGATAAAGACCCATAAGGACGCCTAGTCTCTTGTGGAGACTAGATTAATATTTCTTTAAGAATTAGTACCATCGTGTAGTCAGATAATTTTTTTATGATGTATCTGCATAGACTCATATTAAATGAAGTGGAAATAATGAAATAGCGACAAAATCACAAGACAAATCTTTGTATTTACAGAAATTCAGATCTTTGGGCATGAGGGTCTGTTGGGACTGGTTAGTATGTGTAATGGAAGGAAGTTCACCACATACATAACCATTAAGACTTCCCATCACCTATTGGAAAATAGGGCTTATTTCTTGCTTTCCCTACTGGGTTTTTACTCTGACACCTGCTCTTTTAGATGATGAAATAACAGTCATTAGATCTGACATTGTCCGTAAATTCTTAAATGAGTTTTTATTGACTAGAAAAACATGATTTTACTTGGTTGGCTTTCTCTTTCAGAAGATGCTATTCTTTTGCAAGAGCCACCCTTGGCTGACAATTCAAAACAGGAAGAAGTTTTGAATGATTCTGCAACCAGGGTAAAAGAACTTGAGGTAATTGCTAGGCCTATTGGTTTTTGAAGTCGATGTTAGCAGTATATGAAATTTTAATTTCAGTCATACATTATTTAGCTTGATGTGTTTAGACTGTTTATTTTATGACTAAGAAGGTGATGTCCCAATTTAAGTTAATTTAATAGTTTTTCCTTTCTCTCTTAGTCTCATAGGGAAGCATGGGAAATATGTCCTTTGGGTCCTGGAGTCCTACTTTATCTGTGTCTCTCCCTTCCTGCTTGTGTACCTCAAACAAGTTCCTTAAACATGCATGATTGAGGTTCTATGGTGAGCTAACATGTGCTTGCTTAGCCCAGAGCAGGTGGCCAGTGCTTTTAGTTTCTTCTTCAGTCTCTTCTTCCTTCCATCAGCAGAAAGTGAACATTCCTGTCATTACATCAGGATCTTACAGGTTAAAACAGAATGAGATGCGTTTTTCACATGCCACTTTATTTTCCTTCTGTTCATCACATGTGCTCTCTGAAGGTTAGAGCTGGAACTTGATATACCTGGATATATCCTGCACATAAAATGTATTTTGGCAGCTGTAATGACCTATTTATTTGAGAACATTGTAGACTTTTGTATGTAAACATGAGATGTGTATAAAAAAGGAAAGTACCACAGCATGTTTGTGATAACTCAGCTTTTCATATTTAAAAACATTGCTGTTGGGACTTTAGTTGTATCTGGAAAACAGGTAACAAACTTAAACAGAAGCACTTGCTTTGTAGGCCAGGATTCTGTATAAGTATAAGGTTGGATGAACTTACCCCGCCCCCTCCAGGGCAAAATACGAGGTCCTTGTTGGAATCGGGCTCTTACTACTTCAGAGAATGAGTCTCTGTCCAGTGATCTTACTTATATTATGACTCCCCTCTTATAGCAGACTGCCAGTTTTTATGTACTGAAGCTATACTTCAGTAACTGTTTAAATGCACTTTTTTTTTCTTTTTTTCAATTCCAGCTTGAGCTTGAATCTCTCAAGGCCCAGTTCTTGGAAATAACCAATCAAAACCACCTGCTGAATGAAAAGATGAAAGAGATGAGTGACTATTCACTTCTAAAAGAAGAGAAATTAGAGCTTCACGCTCAAAATAAATTACTTGAACAACAAGTGGAAGAGAGCAGAAATGAAAACTTCTATCTCTTAAACTGTATGCCTTTTTCCTGGTTTACTTGTATTTGTAATTCATGAAACTATGCTTTGTACTTGTAAGGAAGGCTTCAATCAGGAAAATTTTATGGAATTAAGATTTTCAATTTGAAGTTACTTCCTTTTTGCTTGCTGTTGTATATTATTTGTGTCACTAAGAAGTAGTTTTAAACTACTAATCTGCCGCTCTGGATTGTACAAATCTCCCCTCACCCTCTGCTGCTCAGGTTTGGCCAATGAGGAAGAGGAATGAGAGAGTGAGGCTGGGGTTGTTATTCCCTCTCCATCATTGTACCCTCACCTCCACTGAGTATATTGGCCGTGGGCTGGCCCAATGCTTACAGGATGATCTCTCACCATTGCTCTGTGCTTGTGCCAGATCTTTCTCTCCCAATTTTTGGAATTCTTCTCTCCCTGATCTTCTGGCCAGGGGTGGGGACTGTCCTGCCCATAGGCCATAGAAGACCCATAAAATCTTTTGGTCTGGCCCTGCCAAAGCTTTAGGGGTGAATTAATTAAATGTTTGATCAAATATAGAGACTAATTTTTAAGTTGATAATTTTGTATGATGTTATAATCATTTGGCCCTTGCAGAGAAAAGGTTCTCCACTCCTACTGTGGGCTCAAGGAGTTAACAACATGGCCCCATTACTAGCCCAAAGAACTACACCACCGTTAGTGACTAAACGACATGAATCACCCTTTAGAACAGTGGTTTTCAACCTTTCTAATACCTCAACCCTTTAATATATTTAGTTCCTCATGTTGTGGTGACCCCCAAGCGTAATATTATTTTTGTTGCTACTTCATAACTAATTTTGCCACTGCTTTGAATCGTAATGTAAATATCCGATGGTCTTAGGTGACCCTGCTAGCGGTTCTCAACCAGTGGATTGTGATTCACAGGTTGAGAACCACTGCTGTAGAGCCTAAGACCATCGGAAGGTACAGTTATGAAGTAGCAATGAAATAATGTTATGGTTGGGGGTCACCACAACATGAGGAACTGTATTAAAGGGTCACGGCATTAGAAAGGTTGAGAACAACTGCTTCAAAGGGTTCTGCAGTGACTGAAATGGTGGAACTCCATCTGATGCCTGCTTCAACCCCTAGTGTTGCTGACTGGTGCACAGATCAGCTTAGATCTAGGGGTAGTTAGATTTTGGTAGAGGGCTACACTTTCAGGTCAATTAGAGGGTTAGAAAAAAAATTATTCTTAACTTGGATTAGAAAGAGTAGTGAATTTTGTATTTGCATGCATTAAGTTCTTCTGAAATTTGTGCTCTTAGTCCTTTAATATGAGATTAATAATTACAAAGAAAAGAAAGAACAATTTAAAATATCTTTAGCTGCTTTTGTTAAGTGAAATGAAAACACTTACTGTTGATAATCACCAGGCTTTTTTACCTTCTCAGGTATAGCTCAGTTATCTCCTGCACTGGTAAATTTGCAGAAACAGTTGAAGAAAGTGGAAGCTACTATCGTGTTGGGGCATAAGAAGTTTGAAACTCACAAGGAGGCTCTGCATAGACAGCTGCAAAGTGAAGTGAGTACTGATCTGTATTTGATCAAGTGTTAGTCTGGTCCACTGTGTACACATGTAAGCTTGGTATATGTCATACCAATGTAAATCAGATTGGATTTAACATCAAAAATTATTTCCTCACTATTCTTAGATAACCTTTTCACCTGAGAAATGCTTGAGTGATGATATAACTCTGTTCATAACAGTAATAAAATCCCAAGGAAAGCAAACTCATAAGTAAAATTGTCCCAGTTTCGATTGTGCCCTTTAGTAGTGTCTTGATTCTTGCTCTATAACTTAGAACTGTTGACCCTCTGGTATCTGCCTCATGCCTTACAGAGCTGTTCTGTGAGATAAGTGCAAAGGGCGGTGGCAAACTTGATTGTGTGCTCTGTTGTTTCCTACGGACCTGTGGGCTACAGACATAAAGCTGCGTGGAATGGGCAAAACGGAAAAGAGAATAAACCCGATAAAAGTCTTGTTCCTTTTGAAGTGACCTGGGATTTCTTTTACATTGATTTCTTTCCCTCCTTTAAATTTTTTTTTAGATTGAGAATGCAAAGCTGAAGGCCCAGATATTAGATTATGATGCCTCTGTAAAGAGATTAACTATACAGGTGGCTGATTTAAAATTGTGCCTGAAAAATGTATATGTAAAACTTCTGGTATATATGAAAATGTAATGATTCTTATTGAAATTTGAGTAATTCTCGTGGTAGGGGAAAAGCCATAGAAATGTCATCTTAGAAGTAAAAACTCTGTCCATTTCAGAAATACCAACCAGTCATCAGCTAACGTGACTTGCTTTTATAGGTTCCTGTGGCTTGGGAGAGCCTCAAACCCCAAATAAGAAAGCTATGATGGCACAGAGGTCCCCAAATTCATGGATCTTGGTTTTACTTTTATATTTGTTATCTTGATAATAAGAGCAATCTGACCCTTTAGGGGCTTTACCTGTTCCTTGAGAGATGAGTAAAATATGTGAGAAGCAGAGTGACTTATGTCACACTAGAGGCCTGGTGCATGAATTACTGTATGGGTGGGGGTCCCTTGGTTTTACCCGTGGAGATTGGGCTGAAACTGGCAGTCCATCACTACTGCTACTGCCTACTGCTCACACTCATCCTGACCCTGCTGTGCCTGCCGCAGGCTCGTGCTCAGTTAGTCCTGATCAGGAGAGGCTTGTCTGCTGTAGGCTGCTCACCTGCATCTGGTGCCTGTCCCAAAAGGATTTGGGGCAGGGGTGCAGGATGCGACTGGCACTCCAGGCAGGTAGTGGGACACCCTTGCCTCATCGGGATCTAGATTTATCCCTGATGTTTGTGCAGATTGACAAGATTTCTTCATTGTGTAATATTTAGGGAGGGGAAGCGGCTGGGCTGTGGTGCCTGAGGCCAACTTCCAAGAGGCCAGTGACGCTGTGCTGTGCTGGTCCACTGATGCCTGACTTTGTTCTCCAGAGATTGGATCTGCAGAACTATTGAGGGAGTGAGTGGCTGCTGCTGCTGGCTGGTTGGCCTCCGAGATAGGTCAGTCAGCTGCTGCTGGCTGGTTGGCCTCCGGGATAAGTCAGTCAGCTGAGTGGGAGTGGATGCACAACCGGGGGCAGCTCCTGTGTTGAGTGTCTGCACCATGATGATCAGTGCATGCCATAGTGATTGGTAGACCTGTTAGGCTTTCAGATAGATAGATAGATAGATAGATAGATAGATAGATAGATAGATAATCACATTGATTATATATAATATTTATGTTTTAAGCACCTCAATTTTTAAGTCATTAATTAACCTTGGATACATTTAATGTCTTTGTAATAATCATTATAATTACCTGGTTATTAACAGGAAAGGAGTAAAGGGAAGATTAGATAATAGAGACATGCCATTTATACAGCTTTCCCAGGGAGTTGCAGTTAATTGTCTCCAAGTTTATTCCCTGAAGATCACTGTGAGAAGGCAATAGACTATAAACACAAGCTCAGTAAGGTCTTCATGATGCTTACATGTCAGTCAAACCTGGGAACAAGTTAGTAGCCAGAAATAGGCATGCTAGTGCAAATATAGGAATATTTAATATTTAAGCTCCTGAACAAAGAAGCCCCTCTCTCTTACTTGCTCAGATTCCCAGCTTATGGTGTTCTTAACTCCTTTTTCTTCACACAATGTGCTGATGGACCAAACGTAGCCTGATGCTAAATTGTATACTGACCCACCATAGAATGGACACTCTGGATACTGGCCCTACTTTTTTGATTCTCCTGGACCCCATCTGCACCCTTTTCAGGACTAGGTTAAGGGATATTGAACTGTGCAAATCAAAAAATATAATTACATGCCAATAAAATCCATTCATTCTACCGTGTGGGAGTCTTAGAAAAGTCTTTTTCTGGTGATATTGCAAGAGTTACCCACTTGCACTAATGTTGGGGAAATTTACCCAGTGATTTTTCCAGCTACACTTGGATTTTAGTTTCCTCATTGCAACGGGGATATGAATACCTTCTTTGTCATGGTTGAAGAAGGCAAAATGAGATGGATCTCAATTGAGTGGAACACATCAGATACTCAGAAGTATTACTGCTATCATGTTACTTCATGTGTTCCTTGAGGATGCATACTATCTGCCCCTTCCTGCTTCAGAACAAGTGTACTGAAGCTGAGGTACAAAGCTCAAAAGGAAGTTTCTTTGTGTTAGCAGTTGAACTGGTTTCCAAATTTCCTGTTCCCGAGCCTCCCTAAGTTCCCCCATTTGTGCTCTCTCCTCCTCAGTTCCAATCCCATCTTCTACACTAGTTTTACTTTTATTTCTTGATTCCTTCCTGTTCCTTATTTTTCTCTCAAGTCTATTTGTCAAACTGCCCTCAGCTCTGAAATACAGTGGTCTTGAATGATGAAAAATAGTTTAGGATGGAACCCTTTCAAACACAGGCATTGCCCTTGAGGCATTGCTGGAGAGGAATAGTGACAATATTGGCTGTGCATGTTTTGGTTTTGCTTAGGATGCCCAAGCATCTGTACACCTCCCTACCTGTATGACCCAGCCTCAGCTCTCCAGTTGTAATGTGGGAGGAGCAGAGTTGTTAGCCTTTTGTGGTTGAAGATCCTCACGCCCTTATCTGAAAATTAGAGGCCCAATGCATGAAATTTGTGCAAAGGGCTCAGTCCTTGCAGCTGCGATTGTTTGCCTCAACCCTCCTAGCCATAGCTTCTTCCAGAAGGTTGTCCAAAGAATGCCTAGAAGGTTGTTTGGTTGTCTGGTCTAATTAACACATATGGTTATTTCATTTTATTTTATTACAGACTAGAAGCCTGGTGCATGAAATACCTGCATTCGGGGAGCGGGTCTCCACAGTGCTGAATCCCTGCAGTCGAACGCCCCAAAGAGGTAGGTCCCTCCCACCCATTCGGGGCTCCTCGATGGCTTGTCCCAAAGAGATAGGCTAGAGCCAGGGGCCCCACATCCATGGTGTGCAGGGCCACAGGACCTCCAATGCTGGAGGCTAAGACCAGTAGGTTATAATAAATGTGAGAAGTATGCCAGAAGGCTGATGGGCTTTGATATTCAGCAGGGCTGAAAATCTGCTCATTACCTATTGCTTGTTGAATGGCTGAAAGCAATTCCCCTAACCTGATAATCTTTTACTATTTACCAAACCTTATCTTGAATATGTGTGTTTGCTTTGCTAAAGGGAAAAAATGTGTGAATAAAAAGTCGTAGGTCCAGAGATAATGGTGAACCACTCCACTAGAGAGCTAGTTTTTGTCTGGCTTTCCTCCATGCCTTCTAAATTTATATTTCTTGATTAGTGTACTATTTATGCTTCAGCTCCTTCTCCAAATTCCTGAACCCTTGGTGCGAAAAGACTGCTGCACCCCAGGCTTGTCACATGGGGCCCCCAGGCTCCACCTTGTACACACAGCCTCAAGTCCCCACCCATCTGTGTGTGCATGCTGCACTAGTAGACTCCTGCTGATGGATTATGAGGGTGTGACGACCACATAGGCTTTTATTGGTATAGGTAGATTGGGCCCTATACTGGTTTTGCCACAACCCTGGGGATTCTGGGTCAGCATTCTTTAGTGAATCATGTTTGCAGTCAAATATGTGACTATCCATGCTGAGTAGAATAAATAAAAGTAATGAATGGGTTTGCATCAGTTCAGGTCAAGTTTATCAACAAAGTGAATTTAGGTGTGCCTAGACTTTGTTATCAAATAAATTATGAATATGTTTTCAGTTCTCAAGAGCTTTTTTGAGTTTAAGATTGTGGATCATGGATTATGAAGTAATATCATGCATTAAGAAGGAAGGCCTAGCTTTGGCTGGCTCTGTTCAATTGTTAGAGCAATGGCGTGCAGCCAAAAAGGTGGAAGGCTCCATTTTCTGTCAAGCGTATATGCCTCAGTTGTGGGTTTGCTCACCATCCCTGGTTTGTGGTGCATGTGGGAGGCACCAGTTGAGGTGTCTCTCATATTGATGTTTCTCTTCCCTCTCCCTGTCCCTCTACTTTCCCTTTCACTCTTCAATGGAAAATATATCTTTGAATGAGGATTGAAAAAAGGCCTAAAAGCAAAGTCTATGAAGTTATAACTGGTACATAAATGCTCTAAATAAATGCTAATAAGTAATTAGAATTATTGTGGCTTCATAAATTACTTAGTGTGCATGTTTGCTCTTATTACTACATCCTTTCATTTATTTTTTAAATTCTCAAGCATACTTGAATTTTTTTCTCTGCTTATTAGTCACATTATCTTTGTGTAGTCTGCAGCTCTGGAAAACGAAGTCTACTACAATCCAAAGCCATCTCTATTCCATCGTTCTGGCAATGGATTTACGATGTCTCCTAATGGTGAAACAAGCAGGGATTTCTTGAAAAATCTTCTTAAACAGGAAAAGCTGATGGCAGACACAGTTACACCAAGGATCATAAATTATCCAGATACAAGTACCGTTGGTTGCTCCCTGTTTCTTACCTTGCATTTGTAACCACACCAAGGCAAGAATGAAAGAGCTAGAGCAAGAGATTGATTACTTAGAAAAAGCTTTCTTAGATTACTATCAGAGAATTAGTCAGTACTCTCTCTATTGCTAGAAGCCCACTAGCATTGAAGAGCCTGCCTCCCCACATTTTCAAGAAACTCTTGAGCATCGTTTCAGATTCCTCAGAAAGATGTACTTTTGAGAAAGAAGGCAGGATGGCAGAAGTGCTGGGCAGTGCACGCTCACAGCTCTGCACAGGCTCTGACAGATGCCTCTCTTTCACTCCCCTTGCTAAATGAAGCCTTGATGATGAAATGTTTCTGGAAGGTAAGCTACTGCAGAAAAGTTTTCAGGTCTTGCATGGTCCTCTCATCTGAGTAAGAGTGAGAGAGCCCTAAATAGCAAGAAGGCGGAAAAAGCCTGTGCTTGCTGGGCCTAGGAAGTCTTTAGCCTGAGTAGGTTTGTCCTTACTGAGCCTATGGTTGCCTGCTTATCAGAGACTTCTCCTCTGTCGCATAAGGTTGTGGTAGGCAACGGGATAGAGCAACTTCTGCCATTTTGCTAGGCTTACAGATGTGTTCAGAGAATTACAGTCAATGTCTTTGCCCTTACTACTGATTAGTTTTATTAATCCTATGAGTGATATCATGGCAACAAGCAACAATGAAAAGAAGAAAAGAACAATCCAAAATCTATGGTATACAGTGAAAGCAGTTTTGAGAGGGAAGTTCATAGCTCTACAAGCCTACCCCCAAAAAACAAACAATGGTTGTAAGTTATCTAACCCTACAACCCCAAAGAGTTATAGAAAGAGAACAACAAGAAAAGCCGAGTGTAAGCAGAAAAAAGGAAATAGTAAATATCAGAGTGGAGATAAATGACAGAGACCAAAAACACAATACAAAATATTAAAACAAAGAGTTGGTTTTTTTTGAAAGGATAAACAAGATTGATGAACCTGTAGCCAGGCTCGTCAAGAAGCAAACAGAAGACCGAAATAAACAAAATCAGAAATGAAGGGAGAAATAACAGACTCTACAGAAATACAAAGGATTGTTACAAAAATACTATGAATAACTCTATTCCAACAAACTGGACAACCTGGAGTAAATAGACATATTCACAGAAAAATACAACCTTCCTAACTCAATCAGGAAGAATCTAAACACCTCAGTAGGCCAATAACTTTGGAAGAAATTGAAGCAGTCATCAAAAATCTTCCAGCAAATAAAAGCTCAGGGCCAGACAGCTTCACAGGGGAGTTATATCAAACATTCAAGGGAGAACTAAAACCTATCCTCCTTAGACTATTCCAAAAAATTGAGGAGGTAGGAGCACTTCCAAGTTTTTCTACAAAGACAGCACTAACCTAATACCAAAACCAGATAAAGACAACACAATGAAAGAGAATTAATTATAGGCCAGTATCCCTGATGAACATACAATAGATGCCAAAATTCTCAACAAAATTCTAGCAAGTCGGCTCCAGCAGTACATCAGAAAGATCATACACCATGACCAAGTAGGATTTATCCCAGGAATGCAAGGATGGTTCAATATCCACGAGTCAATAAGTGTCATACATCACATAAATTGAGAGGTAAAAATCACACAATCATATCAATTGATGCAGAAAAAGCATTTGACATAATCAAACACCTTTTCCTGATAAAAACTCCCAGCAAGGTGAAAATAGGATCATATCTCAACATAATAAAAGCCATATATGAGAAACCCACAACCAACATCATATTCAATGGGCAAAAACTTAAAACCATTTTTCCTAAGAACAGGAATAAGACAGGGATGTCCACTCTCACTACTCCTGTTTGACACAGTACTGGAAGCATTAGCCATTGAGATTAGACAGGAAGAAGAAATAAAAAGTATCTAAATTGGAAAAGAAGTAAAACTGCCCTTGTTTGTAGATGACATGATAATGTACATAAAAAACCCGAAAGACATAAAAAAACCACAACTAATAGTCTTAAAAAATGAACTCAGCAATGTAGCAGGATACAAAATTAACGCCAAGAAATCTCTGGCCTTTCTATACACCAATTGTGAACTTAAAGACTAAAAAAGCAATCCCATTTACCATCACACCAAAAATTTAAGATATCTAGGAATAAACCTAACTGAGGAGGTAAAAGACCTATACGTGGAAAACTATAAGACACTGAAAAAAGTGATATAGGAAGATGTAAACAGATGAAAGAACATGCCATGTTCATGGATTGGTAAAATCAACATCATTAAAATGTTTATACTACCTAAAGCAATCTATAGATTCAGTGCACTCACTCCCTATTAAAATATCAGTGGCATATTTCACAGAGCTACAATGGACTTTCCAAAAATTCATCAGGAAATTTTTTTAAAAGACCTATAATAGCTGCAGCAATCCTGAGAAAGAAGAACAAAGTAGATGGGATCTCAAGACCAGACTTCAAGTGTATTACAAAGCTACTGTTCTTAAAACAGTCTGGTACTGGCACAAGATCAGATACATAGACCAATGGAATAGAATAAAGAACCCAGAAATCAACCCAAAACACTATGCTTAATTAATATTTGACAGAGGAGGCATGAACATACAATGGAGTGAAGACAGTCTCTTCAACAAATACTATTGGGAAAATTGGACAGAAACATGCAAAAAAATGAAATTAGACCACCAACTTACACTGTACATAAAAATAAACTCAATATGGTTAAAGGACTTAACATAAGATAGGACACCATAGAGGAGAAACCAAGATGGCGGCATAGGGTAGACACCCGAATGCAGCCTACAACAACAAATTTGAATTTAGAACTGAAAAACAGGGGAGGCATTGCCCAGAAGCGCCAGACGGCTGGCTGAGAGGAGGCTCTGCCATCTGGGAAGGAGAGAGAAGGCACGCTGAACCTCAGGAACTGTGAAGGTATGGAGAACTGTGTGCACGAAAAGGCGCTGGCTTAATCCCGGTGCGGAGAGGAAGGGCCTGTCCGAGATTGCTGCTGGCTTACTCCCTGCACGCAGAGAGGGCGGGCCCGGCTGAGTTCGCTACTGGCTTACTCCTGGCGCGGAGAGGGCGGACAGCTAACGCGCAACTGGCTTTCTTGTTCGAGAGGAAAACAGAATCACCCTATTGCTCTGATAAACGGCCCCAGACAGGGAGAGGCCAGACTGTTAGGCAGTGGGCAGAGATCTCTTGGAGGTGTGTGAAGCCAGAGGCCATTACTGCAGGACTTGGGGAGGAGCCGAAGGGAAAACGAAGTTTGTCTGCATCAACCCGAGACTCCGCCCTACCTGTGGCTGAGCACAGAAGCTCTCCCAGAGGCTGGCTTTCTCTAAGGAGGGACTTGCAGGAATCCAAAGCTTGTCTGCGCCTTTACCAAAGAGGTGCGCGCGCCTGCAACCAATCTTCCAAAACTCTCCACGAACAGGACTTTTCTAAGGCGACACTGACAGGGAACCAAAGATTGTCTGCGCCACCCCGAGACCCCGCCCTATTCAAGCAGAGTACGGAAACCCTCCTAGCTGAGACACTGTTGATCCTCACAGCCAATTGGCTTGGAGATCAACGCTTCCCAGTGATACCAACAATAAGCAAGGCTTAACAACAAGACTGCACACACAGCCCACAAAGGGCTACACCAAGACTATCCACTGCAGGTAACTGGGAAGGCTGTGCTACTGGGCTCTACCAGAACACCTAGCACACAAAGCTATTCCATCAAATCAGGGAAACAACTAAAATGCAGACAAGAAGGACACAAAGGAAGGAGATGGAGGAAAAGAAAAGATTGAACATTGAGTTCAAAACTACAGTTATAAGGTTATTCAACAATATCCTAAAAAAGGCCGATAAAATAAATGAGACCTATGAGGATATGAAAAGGGAGCAACTATAAATAATAAGGGATCAACAAGAAATGAAGAAAACATTGTCTGAAATAAAAAATATACAAAGTCCTAAAAACAGACTGGAAGATCGCAAGAATCAAGACAAAGATTTAGAACACAAAGAGCCAGAGGACACTCCTCTACAGAAGGGAGAAGATAAGAGAGTCCAGAAAGTTGAAGATAGTGTAAGAAACCTCTGAGACAATTTGAAGCGAACCAACATCAGAATTATGGGGATTCCAGAAGAGAGAGAGCAAGATACCGAAAGAGTACTAGAAGAAATAGTGACAGAAAACTTCCCCCACCTGGGGAAAGAAATAGACTTACAAGTCCAGGAAGCCCGCAGAACCCCAAACAAAAGGAATCCAAGGAGGACCACACCAAGACATATCATAATTAAAATTCCAAGAGCAAAAGACAAAGAGAATACTAAAAGCAGCAAGAGAAAAGCAGGTAGTGACCTATAAAGGAGCACCCATACGATTGTCAGCTGATTTCTCAACAGAAACCATGCAGGCCAGACGGGAATGGCAAGAAATATTCAAGGTGATGAATAACAAGAACCTACAGCCAAAAATAATCTACCCAGCAAAGCTATCACTCAGAATCAAAGGACAGATAAAGAGCTTCACAAATAAAAAAAAGCTAAAAGAGTTCATCACCACCAAACCAGAATTATATGAAGGAGGTTATTTAGGAAGAGGAAGAAGATAAAGATAAAAATTATGATCAACAAATACGTAGCTATCAACAAGTGAATCTAAAAACCAAGGGAATTTAAAAATATGATGAACAATATTAACTGGTGAATATAATAGAATCAGAGGTATGGAAGGGGAGTGGACTGACGATTCTCAGGGAAAAGGGGAGTGGGGGTGCAGGAAGAGACTGAACAAAAACTGTGCACCTATGGATGAGGACAATGGGGGATGGGGAAAGGACAGAGGGTGCGGTGGGAACCTGGTGAAGGGGAGCAATTGAGGGGGGGAAGAGGATCACATTTGTAATAATCTGAACAATAAAGATTTATTTAAAAAAAAAAAAGATAGGACACCATAAAAACTCGAGAGGAATCTACAAGCAGCAAAACCTCAGACATATGCTGAAGCAATTTCTTCACCAATACTGCTGCTAGGGCAATGGAAGCTAAAGAGAAAATAAAAAGTTTTTGCACAGCTAAAGAAAATGTCAACAAAACAACAACAAAGCCCATTGTATGGGAGAACATATTTACCCATGTTATCACTTATAAAGGTTTAATCTTCAACATTTGCAGGGAACTCATACAACATAACCAAAGGAAGATAAATGATCCAATAAAAAATGGGCAACTGACTTAAATTCTTTTAGAAAGAAGACAGCAGGAGGTCCGAGAGACATATGAAAACACTAGAAGCCTGGTGCATGAAATTTGTGTATGGGGGTGGGGGGTTGCTCCCTCTCTAATCTGTAGGGACATCCTCTCAAAATCCAGGACTGCTGGCTCCCAATTGCTTGCCTGCTTGCAATCTTGATTGCCCCTAACTGCTTCTGCCTGCCAGCCTATCGCCCCCTAACCACTCCCATGACAAACTGACTGATGCCTAACTGCTCTCCTGACAGCCTGATTGCCCCTAAGTACCATCTCCTGCATGCCTGGTCACCCTTAACTGGACTCCCCTGCTTTCCTGATCACCCACAACTGCCCTCCCTTGCAGGCCTGGTCCCTCACAACTGCCTTCCCCTGCTGGCTATCTTGTGGTGGCCATCTTGTGTCCACTTGGGGGCAGGATCTTTGACTACATGGATCTGCTTGTAGATTCCTCTTGTGTGTTGGAGTAATGGTCAATCTGCATGTTACTCTTTATTAGATAAGATCCTCAAAGTCACAATTATCTGAGAGATGGAAATCAAAACAACAATGCAGTATCATCTCACACCTGTCAGAATGGCTATCATTCACAAAGCAGTAAATAAGTGCTGGTGAGGATGTGGATAAAAAGAAACACTTGTGCACTGCTGGTGAGAATGCAGACTGGTACAGACACTGTGGAGAACAGTATTAAGTTTCCTCAAAAAATTAAAAATGGAACTCCCATATGACCCAGTAATCCTTTTTCGAGGAATATACCCCAAGAAATTAGAAACACCATTCCTAAAGGATATATGCACCCCTATGTTCATAGCAGCACAATTTACAATAGCTAAGATTCGGAAACAGCCTAAATGCCCATCAGATGAGTGGATTAAAAATGATGATATAACTATACAATGGAATATTCTGCTGCTATAAAAGATAGGGATTCTTACCATTTGCAGCAGCCTGGATGGAACTGGAGAGCATTATGCTAAGTGAAATAAGCCAGGCAATGAAAGCAAAATACCACATGATCTCACTCATTTATAGAAAATAGAGAACATTATAACCTGATGAATAAAAAGATAGGCACAGAGTTCGTGAATCATGGCACAGACTGGCAGGTTACAGTGAGAAGGCTGGAAGTGTTGGGGAAAGGGGGAAGAGATCAACCCAAGGACTTGTATGCATGCATATAATGGACACAAGACACTGGTGGAGGGTTGCATGAGGGTGTATGTCAGGGGTAGTGGAGGCTTGGGGAATGTCAGTGGGCCATAAAAGGAAATATATGTACTACTATTTGTAATACTTTAAACAATAAAATAATTTTTTTAAAAAATGGTGTGAATCAATTATGCATCATACTCAACTATATTTGCAAAGATAATATTTCCCTCCCGCCCCTCAAATTAAACTTCTTAGGAACTCTGTTGTTTTTTTTGCTGTGTAATTTGTAATATTCTTGTCCTTGTACCATTTGCCCTTTAGGTCTAGGCCAATCTCATGATGCTTGTTCCAGTCCTTGTCCTGAAAGAATGCTCCAGCCTTTAGCAACTGAATCTAGGCACAGCCTTTCCATCCATTCAGTCTCAAACCTTTTGGAGCAGAAAGCTGAGTAAGTCACGCATTTTGATTGGCCCAGCCAAGTCTGGTTAGCTGCATGACCCTGACTTGTGTTGTGTTTTAAAGTAAAGCTCAAGATCACATGGGGTATAGAATTTGCAATCAGATTGTAAGATGATGTGTGATCTTCAGTAATCGTCTGAATTATTTGGGAAAAATTCCTTTTAGCAAATAAGTAACTTTTCCCTGTTTGCTAAACCTGATGTGTACACTGTACACCATTGCAGCAGTAAGCATTTCATAGTTCTGTGAATAGACTTGGGTTAGAAATAGAAAAGCAACATACAAATTCAATTTATTTTTAAACTTGAAGTAGTTTCACATATTTAAAAATTTTAAATCCTTCAAAATAAGTCACTTAAAAATATTTTGGCATATAGTCCAAACAAAATTGTATTTTGTCTATTGAGATAAGTACTGAATTGGTAGTGGGTTATAGAGTTTGATTGCTAAAGTAGAATGGAGTAGACGTATGTAGAAGCTGGATGGTGGTCACCCAGGCTGGGATTCAGGCACATGTGGTATTCCTGTCTGTGCCTGATCCATATGAAAGGCACTCTGACTCCTTAGGAACAATGGACATCTGTCTGCATATTGATTCTGCATAGTGTACAGAGTTGGAAATTGCCTCATGTGTTCATCGTGATTCTGATGCATATAATGTACATGCATTTATATCCCTCTCTCATGATAAAGCAAAGAGGAGAAATAGGACACCCAAGTGGGAATTAGGGCACTTGCGTGCACATGGGGCTAATAGTATCGCATATTCATCTGACTCATACTGATGCTGTGCAGAATTTGTTCTTTTCAAATGTTTTGTAGTTCTTGAAAAAACAATCGATATAAGCATTGAAAGTGCAACATTATTTCTTGTCAACAATATAGTACCTGCCTCACAGTAGTTCTGCAGAGTGCCTGAGCTAATGTCTTGATCACTTGGTATAATGCATGGAGCATGCCTAGTACAGGACAGCTTTCATTTTCAGTAAGCACAGTTGATTCTCTAGAGCCTTTTCTTGAGTCACAAAGGCTTTTCATGGTCCTGTGCTCTTGGTTTTACCTTATTACAACTTTACACTCATGAATTTATTCTTTCAACGCAGTCTTTATCAAACACAAAGTGAAGTTCAAGACAGAAATGAATTTTCAAATGTGGATGAGCTATCTTGTAAGGATAATGAGGAATTTGGATCATCTTTTGAACGTAAGTTCAAATACAAGTACCAATTTTTAACAGTTGAAAATGTAGAAAGCTAACTTTTGGTGAAATATATTTGTTGTTAAATCAAAGGCCTTACAATGTTCAACATTTGTATTTTGGGATAAAAACATAAATACAGATAAATAACTTTTTTATATCACAGATTTTGAAGGCTACATTTGAGTGTAATTTTTTTAAAAAAAATTTCAAGATAACTAGTAATTCAAACTTGGAAATAAGCTCACAAGTGAAACCTTAACTTAATTTACCAAGGATGGAATTGCTTCAGATTTAAAATACCTGACTTTTCTTTTTATGGAATATGAAGATGTTATATTATACAGATTCTGATGACTGCCTCAGATGTAGAAAACTCATTCTTAGTGAATGAATGGAGGTGAAAGTATATTAGCTTCCTTATATGGAAATTAGAGCCCTGGCTCTGGCTCTCTTAGATTGTTCTCTGAGAGCCTACTGAATAAGTATGAAATTAGGATATAGAAGTCAGCCAACTCTAAGGTTCTCTCTAGCCTAGGAAATCTTGATATTTGTCTATAATCTACTATGACCCGGTGCACAAAGCTCGTGCATATTATAAGGGGGTTGATTAGAGAAAATAATTCAATATTGCTATATGCCCTGTCTCTATAAATAGAAGTGTCAGAGAATAAATAAAATCAGTAAAATGTATATTAAAATCTTCCTTCTGTCAGAGGCTAGGGCAAGCTGCAGAACCCTGAGTTAAGTCCCCTCCCAACCACATGCCCTTTGAAATCATGCGAGACCCTGACCCAGCTGGCCTCACCCGTATTGGGCAAGATCCAGACCCAGCCAGCTCCACTCCTATGAAGCCTCGCTGGGTAGAGGGTGCAGCCTCAGGTCCCCTGGCACACCTTCAGGTCCCCTGCTGCTGGGTCGGGGGCATGGGGTGTGGCCTGAGGTCCCTGGTCGTCAATCCCTGCTGGGTGCGGGGGTGGGTGGGCATGTAACTTGAGGTCCCAGTCAAGTCCTGCTGGGCAAGAGGCGCAGCCTTAGGTCCTCTGTCCCAGTGCCACACAGCCTCCGGTTGCTGCTGAAAGCTTGTTATGACTCGTTATGGGGTGCAGCCATCTTCTGTTATTGGAATCCCACCTCTGCTGTGGGCGCAGCCATCTTGTGACAGCATGAGGGTTAGTTTGCATTTTATCTCTTAATAATATAGGGTTGTGTTGCCTTGTGAGCTTCATTGTCAAATCTGAAAGTACTATATTTTGAACAGTTAAATGAGATAAGCTTAGTAAAATTTGTAAATTCTTTTTTTAAATTCATATTTTATTTTATTTTTTTAATTTTATTTTTTTATTGATTATTTACAGAGAGGAAGGGAGAGAGATAGAGAGCCGGAAACGTCGATGAGAGAGAAACATCGACCAGCTGCCTCCTGCACAACTCCCACCAGGGATGTGCCCGCCACCAATGTACATGCCCCTGACCGGAATCGAACCCAGGACCTTTTCAGTCCGCAGACCGACGCTCTACCACTGAGCCAAACCAGTTTCGGCTATTTTTTATTTTTTTACATTTTTTTATTAAATTATTATCTGTGTACATATTTTAACATTGCGCCCCCCTCCCGTATACATCCTCCCTCCCCAGAGTTTTGTGTCCATTGGTTGTATTTATATGCATGCATACAAGTCCTTCGGTTGATCTATTATCTCCCCCAGATCTCCCTCCCCTCCCAGCTGTATAGAACATTATAGACTGATGAACCAAAAGATAGATATAGAGACAGTAAAACAACAAGCGGACTGTAAATTCTTTGCAACTAATTTTTTTCTTTTCATTTTTTATTAAGGTATTATATGTGTACATATCTTACAATTGCCCCTCCCCACCCTACTCCCATATATGCCCTCACTCCCTCCCCCCTCAGAGTTTTGTGTCCATTGGTTATGCTTATATGCATGCACACAAGTCTTTCTATCTTTCCACCTCTCCCTAATCTTCCCGCTGTAATTTGACATACTGTTTGATACTTGACTGTCTCTGTATCTTTTTGTTCAACAGTTTATAATTTTCTTTATTATCCATAAATGAGAGAGATCATGTGGTATTTTTCTTTCATTTGACTGGTTTATTTTACTTAGCATGATATTCTCCAATTCCATCCAGGTTGCTGCAAATGGTGAGAATTCGTTCTTTTTTTATAGCAGCATAGTATTCCATTGTGTAGATGTAGCATAGTTTTCTGATCCAGTCATCTGTGTGATATGGGAATTGCATTTTCAGATTTTTGAAGAAACTCCATACTGTTCTCTACATTGGCTGCACTAGTCTACATTCCCACCAGCAGTGCATGGAATGTTATTTTTTCTCCGCATCTTCCCCAACACTTGTTGTTTGATTTGTTGATGATAGCCATTCTGGCTGGGGTGAGATGGTACTGCATTGTCATTTTGATTTTCATCTCTTGGATAATTAGTGACTTTGAGCATGTTTTCATGTGTCTCTTGGCCTTCTGTCTTCTTTTGAAATGATTCTTTTTAGGCCCGTTGCCCATTTCTTATTGGATCATTTATCTTCCTTTTCTTAAGTTGGATAAGCTGCCTATAGATGTTGGAGATTAAATCTTTATCAGTGAGACATTTGCAAATATGTTCTCCCATATAGAGTCCTTTCTTGTTGTTTTGTTGATGGTTTCTTTTGCTGTGAAAAAACCGTTTTATTTTGATGTAGTCCCATTTGTTTATTTTCTCTTTAGCTTCCATTGCCAGTGAAGAAGTTCTTTTGGCATATGTCTCAGATTTTGCTGCTGTGGATGCCTCAAGTATTTTTATGGTTTCCTGTCCGATGTTTACATCCTGTATCCATTTGAGTTTATTTTTGTGTATGTTGTAAGTTGGTGATCTAGTTTCATTCTTTTACATGTATCTGTCCAATTTTCCCAACACTATTTATTGAAGAGACTGTCTTGATTCCATTGTATGTTCATGCCTCCTTTGTCAGATATTAATTGAGCATAGCGATTTGGATTGATATCTGGATTCTCTGTTCTATTTCATTGTCTATATATCTATCTTTGTGCCAGTATCAAGCTGTTTTTTTTAAAATCTTTATTTTTATTTATTTATTTATTTTTACATATTTTATTGATTATTCCCCCCTCCCTCCCTCCCAAACATCCCCTCCCTCCCCAGAGTTTTATGTCCATTGGTTGTATTTATATTCATGTATACAAGTCCTTCGGTTGATCTATTATCTCCCTCAGATCCTCCTCCCCTCCCCGCTGTAATTTGACAGTCTGCTTGTTGCTTTACTGACTCAATATCTATCTTTTGGTTCATCAGTTTATAATGATCTTTATTATCCACAAATGAGTGGGGTCCTGGGGTGTTTCTCTTTCATTGATTGGCTTATTTCACTCAGCATGATGTTCTCCAATTCCATCCAGGTTGCTGCAAATGATGAGAATTCCTTCTTTTTTATGGCAGCATAGTATTCCATTGTGTAGATGTACCATTGTTTTTGGATCCAATCATCTGCTGATGGGCACCTAGACTGTTTCCAAATTCTGGCTATTGTAGATTGTGCTGCTATCAGCATAGGGGTGCATATATCCTTTCTGATTGGTGTTTCTAGTTTCTTGGGATATATTCCTAGGAGTGGGATTACTGGGTCAAATGGGAGTTCCATTTTCAGTTTTTTGAGGAAACTCCACACTGTTCTCCACAGTGGTTGCACCAGTCTGCATTCCCACCAGCAGTGCACGAGGGTTCCTTTTTCTCCGCAACCTCGCCAACACTTGTCGTTTGTTGATTTGTTGATGTTGGCCATTCTGACAGGAGTGAGATGGTACTGCATTGTTGTTTTGATTTGCACCTCTCGGACAATTAGTCACTTTGAGCATGTTTTCATGTGCTTTTTGGCCTTCCTTCTGTCTTCTTTTGAAAAATATTCTATTTAGGTCTATTGCCCATTTCTTAATTGGATCATTCATCTTCCTTTTATTTAGTTGTATCAGCTGTCTGTAGATGTTGGAGATTAGACCTTTATCAGTGGTGTTATTTGCAAATATGTTCTCCCACACCGTGGGCTTTCTTGTTGTTTTGGTGATGGTTTCTTTTGCCAAAAAAAAGCTTTTTATTTTGATGTAGTCCTATTTGTTTATTTTCTCTTTAGCTTCCATTGCCCTAGGGATAGTATCAGTGAAGAAGTTCTTTTGGCATACGTCTGAGATTTTTCTGCCTGTGGGTGCTTCTAGTATTTTTATGGTTTCCTGTCTGATGTTTAAGTCCTGCATCCATTTTGAGTTTATTTTTGTGAATGGTGTAAGTTGGTGATCTAGTTTCATTCTTTTGCATGTGTCTGCCCAATTTTTCCAATACCATTTATTGAAGAAACTGTCTTGACTCCATTGTATATTCATGCCTCCTTTGTCAAAAATTAATTGAGCATAGTGATTTGGGTTGATATCTGGGTTCTCAATTCTATTCCATTGATCTATCATATATGTCTGTTCTTGTGCCAGTACCAGGCTGTTTTGAGAACAGTGGCTTTGTAATACAGTTTGAAGTCTGGTATTGAGATCCCTTCTACTTTACCCTTCTTTCTCAGGATTGCTGTGGCTATTCAGGGTCTTTTATTGTTCCAAATGAACTTTTGGAGAGTTCTTTCTAGGTCAGAGAAATATGCAGTTGGTATTTTAATGGGAAGTGCATTGAACCTATAGATTGCTTTAGGAAGTATGGACATTTTGATGATATTGATTCTACCAATCCATGAACACGGTATGTTCTTCCGCCTCCTTACATCATCCTCTATCTCTTTTTTCAGTGTCGTGTAGTTTTCTGCATATAGGTCCTTTACTTACTTAGTTAAATTTATTCCCAGGTATCTTAATTTTTTTGGTGTGATGGTAAATGGGATTGCTTTTTTAGTCTCTGTTTCTGTAGTTTCACTGTTGGTGTATAGAAATGCCATGTATTCCTTGGCATTAATTTTGTATCCTGCTACATTGCCAAATTCATTTATTA